CTATGCATTTCCATACCCATGTTTATAGGAACTTTTTTTCATATTTTTTGATGAGGAATCAATGAGTACTTATTTAAAACTTTAGCAAGTTAATGATATTAAACTTTTTAAAAGCTTATTGCTATATAATATTAGACTTGGATAAAGGAAAATTAATAAAAATCTCATCAAGGGAAGCCGAAATCGGCAAAATATCAAGAAACAACTTTTAATACGCATTAAACTGCTTATACTATTTCGCTAACAAGAGAAAAAAAAGGCAGTGGCGTACATGTTTTTTTAGAAAAATATTCCAGTGATAACCCATATGCACGTCCCTGGTGAATACGTCGACACTTTTTTAGCCTTAAAATATGTCGTATTTATATATAGTAACTTTTACTCTCAAAATTTCATTAGAAACGCTAAAAATACTTGGACGAAAATTATAATAAATCGAAAAAATATAAGACTTTAACACCCTATAGCTACGAAACAAAGCAGAATCGGACCTATGTTAATATAAAAAATAAATCTTATTTTTACGTGAGGAATCTCCCCACGAGAGATGGCACATGTTTTTTGAAACACCCTGTATACTACGTTTTCATGGAGTGCTCAAAGGGACTACTGAAACCGTTTAGAAAACGGTTTTGGTATTTAAATCTAAATGAAAACAGGTATTCAAAACGTTGCGTTTCAATGTCGATTCGCCTTTTTCTGGGATCGGATAGAGATAACTATCGAAAATGTCAACTGTCGTAAAAAAACAACGTCGTATTTTAAACAAACCGATACTATATACTAACAGAGTGTAAAGTACGTCTAATGGATCTGTGTCTATGAAAGGAATGCGGACAAAAACATTTAAATAAACAGCAATATATATAAATCGCTACCTAGAAGTGGCAGACAGTCCACGTGGACTTGACGTGAGTATGTCACCGCAAAACACTCCACCCACTCATTTCATTGGCTACTTGCAAATTTGTCGAATTTTTATTGATGGGAAGCGTCGTCTAATTATATGCGAGAAACATCGAGACCATCTCGTTTCCTCCCTTAGAGCGCTTTCACACACACCGACAAAATCGGTGCCGTTGCCGGAGCTGAAATCGATTGCAATGTAAATAAATTAGCTCCTTCACATATGCTCCGATCCGGTAAAACACTCGGGGGCCGGAAAATACAATAGAATTAAATACAACTGTCGGAACAGGTGCAAAGCCGGCGCCGACTCCGGCACTGATTTTGCTGGTGTATGTGCAAGCGCTCTTAAGTACAAATGTCGAAACGTCTGCAAAGCCGGCGCCGTATACGGCACTGGTTTTGCCGGTGTGTGCAAGCGCTCTTAGAGCGCTTTCACACACGCCAGCAAAATCGGTGCCGGTGTTGAAATCGATTGCAATATAAATAAATTAGCTCCTTCACATATACTCCAATCCAGTATTGTCGGGACCGGCAAATACAATAGAATTAAATACAACTGTCGGAACGGGTGCAAAGCCGGGACCGACACTGGCACCGATTTTGCCGGTGTGTGTGCAAGCGCTCTAAGAGATCCGGATGCCCCAGAACAGAATAATAGATAGATAGATATTAGGACAGACGCACTGGAAAAAACAAGTTCCTAAGGCGCGGTCTCTTCAGTTATAAATAAATAACTTTTATCTAACAATTAACCATCTAAAAGATAAACAATCTAGAGCCTGATATCTATAGGATATAACATTTGGGTATTTTCATACAAAATAATCCAATAGATAACAGTTTGGAGGACGGCCGCCTACGGACCGGTAGACACTCCGTACTCCGTAGAGAAAGTGTTGCCAATATAAGATATCTGAAATTGAGATGGTTATATATGAAAAGTCGATACAACAGACAGAGACAGAAACTCGGAATTTCAAATCGTTGGATTAAAAAGTGAGGTTATTGTTCAGTTGTCAAAAGATCGTCAAAATGAAAATAAAAACAATAAAATTCAACTAAAATATATTTTGTGTTCAACTTCAACTAGTCCTATTATGGTATAGGCTATTTAAATTTACCTTTATGGAAAAAGGGAAAGATAATTCAATTTCAGCAGTGGTGGTGGTGCAATAGATCTATTGATGGCATGCGATTTATAAGAAATTAAAACAAGAAAAAATAGTCTGTAAGTAATTTATAGTTTAATTACATGATATTACTGTTATATTTATTATATTAACATTTTAGTACAATTGATAATAGAAAATATGGAAGAAGCTGGTGAAGTGCAAGCAGAGATTTATAAACCAATCCTAAAACCACCATCTGGTAAGTTATTAATATTGAAAATTAAACATAGCATAAGACTGTTAGTAATAACAAATATGTTGTTCTAGGGCTTCTCATAGTAAAGAAATAGGTAGGATAGCATCAATGATAGTAATTAAGGTGAGTTTTTATTTTATAAAATAGATAAATGCACTTATACTTTTGTCTTAATAATAATAAATGAATAGTACCTATAATAATTGTTACATTTACACATTATATGTACAAATTATTTAATAAAAAAAATTAAATAAAAACAATTTTGTCATATTACTTTTATTTTTAAGAACTCCAAGTGATGGAACTTCAAAAAAAAAAAGAAAAAGTAAAGGAAAAATCTTGTCTAAACAAAGTTGAACTAACTGGAATTCAAAGGACCACAATACAGGTGTTTTAGCAAGGTTTAGCTAGAGAGTTACTTAAAAAACAGCATGGAAAAGAGATGTACCGTATGATTGAAAAAAATGGCGTCACCAATGGGTATGAAACATAGACTTAAAATGTATGAAATAAAGATTGCTGTCATTTCATATGTAAATTTATATGGGAAATATCATACGGTATAAGGTACATACTGCAAGAAATTAAACTAAAATTGTAACACAAAAGAAATAAAAGCAAATGTGAGTTGAATAACAGGTTTTATAAGATTCCTGTTATAATATTAATGAATTAAGATATGCGAATTAAAAATGAAATAAATAGTTTGAATTAAAAAGTTTTATTTATTTTTTACCTACTTTAGAGCTTTATTAAAAACTCGTTGAAACCTGGCGCATCCGCCACGAGATCAGGAAAAAGAAATACTTTTTTTTTTAATTAAATGAAAAACAAAAAATCCGGCGACGATAGATTTTAGAAGAGCCATTTAGCTATCTTTTAGTAAAAAAAAAGCAACTTTCTAGAGCAAGTCGTTACTTCAGTAGAGACGACACAGATAAACATTAGCATTTTATATAATATGTAGTAATGGTTTATGATTGAAGATTTAAAGGATTTAAATAAAATAATTTATAAATTACTGTTTTATCACTATTATCCTAACTTAATGCATTCTCTTCGTTCTGATGCTCTAACAGAACAGAGACTCTCTTTATTTTGTAACACACAGAATATACTAACGAAAAAGAAGCCCAAGTTCCTTGTAATAAATCGGTTCCATTTTCGTAACGCCATCTCTCGACATAGCTGACATTATAGGTTAGCCAAAGGGGTGCGGGGCCGGGGGGAATTGTAAAATACACTTTTTTATTTTAATTTTTATTAGCTATTTGCAATTTTATTTTTAAAACATATAATGTGAAACAATCACATAATATGTCTTAAAAATAAAATTACAAACGGAAACAAAAGGAATTAAATAATCTGAAAATCTACAAAGTTTATTGATAAAAAAGTTAGGCTATGCAAATTGATAAGTATATTAAGTATAACCTCTTTGGTATAACATTGTTAAACAAACATTAACAAATCATAACATATCAGATCATAGAACTAAAAAAGTACTATTACATAAAAACAGGTGATACAATACTTCAAAATTAATTTTAACATAATATCAAAACCGAAAAATCAAACTGCAAACACAACCACACTTATCACAACAGAAATTAACACACAGTTCCGCGGCAAATGTCCAAGAAAGACTGATCATTCTGATTGGTCCTGGTCCGGTCGTAGCTCACGTCGTATTGTCGGTAAGCAAAATCCCTGTCCAATGTTGTAACAGTCCTTATAAAGTCCGGCACTAGCAACAATATTTTTTTGCACCATTTCAATGTGTTTATTGGTGTTTATACCCCATACGTTCTAAAATGATTATACCCTACATACTCAGAATAGGTAAGTCTTTTCCAAATAATCTAAAATCGAATTTATTGGAATAAACGAAATCTTCAATAATAACAATTTCTTGGTTATGTTAAGCAATTTTGTCAAATATCAAATAAAATCAATATCTCCTCATGCCTTTGCTCATGCGTCAAATTTTTATCCGACAAATAAAGCACTATTTGGCAGTTCGGGCGCCAGATAGGATATCTGGGAGATAAGTTTAATTTATCTAATAGATACTGTTATCTATAGGTGAAGATACCATATACGTATTACTTTTTACAAATATACTCAGCCTAATCTCCAAAAAGTGAAGCCCAAACAGTGAAAGAACAATATGGAATTCTGCATAAGTCTATTTCACCCGGATATTCATTTAACTGAGCATGCCTCACCTGAAGAAGTTTTCATTGGTCGATGTTTTTAAAGGGAAGTGGTTGACTGACATTTCCCCTAACCTTCAATTTGATTTATATTTTTATTATTTATAACACATTATCATGGAGTTGGAAAAATATAAAAAAATAGTTGGAAACAATAAACTAAACAAAATCACTCTTTTACGCGCACAAATAAAAAGTAATCCAAACAGAACTAAAACAACAATCAATCGGAGTTTGGCGCAATCGCAGTTCAATCCATATCCGGGTGAAATAGACTTATGCAGTTTTAATATGGAGCTGGGTTATGTTGTCTTTTTCTTACGGCACAGAAATTGCACACGGGGTTAAATAGGGAACCCTGAGTATATTTGTAAAAAGTAATACGTATATGGAAGATACGCGTTTTTCTGCTATCCGTCAAATAAAATATATCTGGCAGATTATAACACGCTATCCGTACCTGAAAACACCGGGGGTAAGCATGGTATAGTATATACGTAGTTGAAATTAATTTAAGTTTATTTTAAATCCAGAACAAAATAAAAATATGTAATGTAAGGGCCACTTTTATAAAGTTGATTTAAACCCCAAACCTAGGATTAAGTTACAGAATAACAATAAACAACAATCAGCTGATAGCATTAAAGAAAAATGACTGATGAAAAGGCAAATCTCAGGGGGGTTAATTTTTTTTATGTTTCAATACGAATCGAGTGTCCATTTACATATGGGCTAGGCCTTTTGTATATGGCCCGTTTTACATATATGGTTCACGCATTGGCTGATGTAGGATCGATGGAGGGTAGATAAAATATACCATAGTAGGATCACGGAGGAATAAGAGGGTTGCTCACCACCTAATCAAAAGAGAATTTGGACACCAACCAAATTCTCTTATTCCTCCGTGCATAGGATTGATATTGGATTCAAATTGACTTCCATTGATTTCAATACTCCATAAAAACATAGTAATAGTACATGTTATTTATCTATTTTTCCCACACTGGAAAAATATTTCTAAATTCAAGTGTTTCCTGACCAGCCTTTGTATAAAAGATTTTAATGTTTTCATTAGTAATCTTCCTTTTTTCCTCACAGTATTTCAATTGTAAATCCTTCGCTAGTTTTAACTGATCTTTAAAAGTATTATCACTGTTGGAGCCAGTTTTACCCTCCCATATCCAAATTTCTGTATTATTATCAAGAAGAAATAAGGCTAAAAATGGGTTTAAATAAATAAACATTACACACTTTGTTTTTGCTTAACTTAATGCTTACCCGGTTCAGATGCTGAATAAAGATGATTTTGTAGAAATGGAAATGGAGCTAAACCACCAATTTTTCTAAGAGGGTATTCCACTTCAGTGGCTAAAAAACTACCCGTGATAGTGTTAAGGTAAAATAATTTTGGACTAAAGTCTGTATTAGTCTTTATATGATAAAAGTCTTGATAATTGCCTTTTACAGTTTCCAAAAATATATCTGGCTCATTATTTTCTTCAATTTCATGTATAGAAAAGAACTCCCATTGTGGTTGCCATAACTGCAAATGAACATGAGGCTTGTGTATTTTTATGTTTGTTTTATAATCATTAAGTGTTTTTGCCCCATGCCAGTAAAAAAATATTTTTTCTTGAGGTATAACTAATAAGAAAGTTCCTCTGCTCCTTAAGCTTGCCTTAATGCATGGCACTTCAAATAAGTGAGTTTCTTTTGTAACTTCCCCTCTAAGAAGAAATAAATGAGGAATATTTAAGTCAAAGTCAGTTTCTTTACCATTAAAAACTATTAATTTCTCAAAGCCATGGAAAAACAATGCTGGTTCACTCCACTGGAACAACCTCTCAACAGGATATTGCTCTTCTATATCTGATGGAAGAGGACTATAGCCTTTTACAGCATGTTGCCCCCTCCAGTAATACACCAACATTTCTTCAGTTATTGACTGATCTATTTTAAGATCAAAGAGCCAGTGCACAATGTAAGCCTCTGAATCAAACAAAAATCCAACATTTTTCTTATCAATTTTTTCAAGGGTGTTTTCTTGAATTCTCCAGCACAAAACATGGTTTGTCTTGTTGATTTTGTGTTCAAATTCATTTCTTACTGCTACAGTGGGCCTCAAAACTGTATTAAAATTGACGTAGAAACGGGGTTCTTCATACTTTGACAGTATTAAATCTTGAACATTTAAGATACTCATTTTCGTATCGCTAGATTTTATTTTCACTTAATACAGAGCTCAACACTTGATTAAAATCTTTTATTTAATGTAAGTTTAATGTCTATTTATGACTTTTAAACAAATATGATAAAAAAAAGATGTCAGAGATAAATACCCGAAAATGAATACTATCAGTTGCATAATATCAGAGACTTTTAACTAAATAAGCGGTATTAAAGTTATTACGTTATACGTGGTTATTCTCATAAATAAACTTTTTTATACTATTATTCCAATAATTCCAATTTTACATACCTACCTATGAAACAGAAAAGAGTGTAGACACAAGTGTAGCGTTGTGTAGAGGTTTATAAAATTCCAAAAGCCAATAATTTAAAAATTATTGGCTTTTGGAATTTTTCAAATATTGGCCAATGGCAGAGGTTTGGCTATTGGCTTTCAGCTTTCTCTAAGGTGGATTCATAAAATAATAACTAGAAGGATGGATTCACGGTCAGGATTTTCATGCATCCATCATCCATTGATACGACTTCTGAGGGTGCAGCAAGGATATATAGAAGAAGGATATTCAACTCCCTATAGCGGGCTATGTAGGAAAATATGTATTTTGTCGAGGAAGACGATTTCGTCACGACCAATGAGCGTCGAGTATTTGAAATTGAAATTGAAAATATATAAATTGAACATTTCACTGACAGATGTGATGAGATTATTATTGTAATTTATAGATCCAAACGTTTTTTGAAAAAATAATGTATTTTAAAGTTATTTCCTAGAGGTTTGGTTTGGCCTTCTATATTTTGGTATTTGTCTACTAATAAATAATATCTTATTTTGTATTTCGATGTATGGAAATCCGCAAGTTTTGTATCTGAAGCCGCAAAGAAATTTCGCTCTATAGTGAGAAAAATGTTATATCTTTTTAGACGCGTAGAATAACAAAATTTCTTATTTCAGATGTTCTAAATGTGAGTGCTTAATGTCAAAAATTAAAATATATACTTGAAATATTTCAAGTTATACCCTTTGCCCTTTGGAAGTAAACAAATATTGAAGAAAGTGTTGTGCCTTCACAGAATTTAAATTGGCATTAGGAATAGATTTCCTTGATTTAGTAATGATATTGCTCATAGAAATTGATAATGTGAAGAATAACAATACAGGAACATAGAATAACAAGAAAGAAATTCTAACAGCAAGTTAGGTTATGAGATAAATTTTATTTATATAGTTTGTTTAAAGAGTTTAGTTTGAAAAAAAGTTAAAACAATTATTGTCCAGGTCATATTTGATAACTGTTGTTAATTGATAACATATTACAGGGACACAGTAAAAAGACAAAACATTTAGACCCTTTAAAAGAGAAATGTTTGCAATGGATATTAATAAATTCTAGCCAATTTGTACGATGTACAATGCAGGCAATATTTCTGCCTCCTAACGCACTATTCGCATAAAAGAAGATGTGGGTATTGTATTTATACCTAGGTAGTTAATGATACATGGAATATATTTCTATATTATTGCAATAACGATGTCTTTATGTTGTATTTTTTTAGAACAGATTTATTATTAGTTGGCTAGTGTGTTAGTAGGATAGCCATTGGTAGTTATAAAGTATGAAGTCGTCAGGTATTAATAATAGGAATTGATCAAAGCTTATACATTTATTGTGATATTTATATTGTGAATTTAAGTAGTTAGAGTTTTGGTTGTTTAATAAACCAATTAATGTGCTTATTGTGTATCTAATTAAAAGAACAATGAAAAGTTGAATACCATAGGGGTACGTATGTTATACAAAGAATTTGCATCAACATTTTTTTGGTTATATACTTGTACTGATATTTGTTTCTTGAACTAAAGAATTATACAGTACCTACTACACAATATATAATCTGCAGCTACATAGGTAGGTAGCTATTGGTAATTAAATTTTTTATCTAATATAATATCTAACATCAGAAATATTGTTAATTATCAACTATAAACAACTAAGAACTAGAATTATCAACTATAAACACAATATAATATACTGTATCTTAAGCAATATGTAATTATTTAACAATTTTTTTGGGAAATAAAAACTGGTACTAAATTCTTTTTGACTATTTAATTTCTAGTCACAAATAATGGTGGACAAATAGCAAGAAAATTATACAAGTAAAACATAATTTTAACTTATTTCTCTAATGGGATTTTGGTATTGATCTACTTAGTAGGATATGCAGTTATCAATCATATTTTTGAATATTTATATTCAATATTGTTCAGGAACAGCCCAATTACTCTGAAAAAAAAATATATGGTCAAATTCTTTGAAAAGAAACTTTTAAAATCAGTAATGATAAGAAAATATATAATTGTTGTATAGCAGAACCAGGGGACACAGAATTAGGGGAATTAACAATAGATTATTAAAAACTGCCTTCTCTTAAAAAAGTAGTATTATATGCACTTAGAAAGACTATAAAGAATATAAGTACGCATAGAAAGAAAGTAAGTATCTATACTACTGATATATTATATAACTATATATGAATACGATACCTACAGTATACAATATTACTAGTATAAAAATAACAGCACAGTCGGCACACTTTAAAATAAAAAAGCAGCATAATATTCAGGTATGTATCTAAGCAAAATTTTCTCAAAAATATTAGAATATGAAATAAATTGCAACTAAATTTTAATTAATAAACATAAACAAATAAAATTGTCAGTGTTATTAAAACTTTATGCAAATATATGTTACCTTAATACTTTGTCTTTAATCCTACTCTTCTGACATGGCTTTGCAAACTAATATTTATGAACTTTTGTTTCCATATTAATTTCAATATATTTGAATAAAACTGGAAAAATAATCAATATTGGCACTTGAAATTTTAATTTCTTATGTCCTTAAATTATTTATATCGTGTTATACATAATACTTACATAAATATTCAATTTAAAAATAGATCAGCACTTGAACGAGTGAATATAAAATAGTATATTATCAATTTCTATGAGCAATATCATTACTAAATCAAGGAAATCTATTCCTAATGCCAATTTAAATTCTGTGAAGGCACAACACTTTCTTCAATATTTGTTTACTTCCAAAGGGCAAAGGGTATAACTTGAAATATTTCAAGTATATATTTTCATTTTTGACATTAAGCACTCACATTTAGAACATCTGAAATAAGAAATTTTGTTATTCTACGCGTCTAAAAAGATATAACATTTTTCTCACTATAGAGCGAAATTTCTTTGCGGCTTCAGATACAAAACTTGCGGATTTCCATACGTCAAAATACAAAATAAGAGATTATTTATTAGTAGACAAATACCAGAATATAGAAGGCCAAACCAAACCTCTAGGAAATAACTTTAAAATAAATTATTTATTCAAAAAACGTTTGGATTTTGGATCTATAAATTACAATAACAATCTCATCACATTTGTCAGTGATATGTTTTCAATTTCAAATACTCGACGCCCATTGGTCGTTCCTCGACAAAATACGGCACGTTTTTTTTGGGCCAGTCGAATATCCTTATTCTATATATCCTTGGGGTGCAGCCACACAATCCTAAAAACGGCGTATCGGCGTAATGACCTTGAATATATTTCCAGTAATTCTATTGGCTGAAACATTCATCTGTCAGAAATTTTATCTGTCAAATTCATCTGTCAAAAATTTTAGCCAATAGAATTAGTGGAAATCGATTCAAGGTCGTTACGCCGTTACGCCGATACGCCGTTTTTAGGATAGTGTGGCTTATGTCTCTGACTTGTGTCTAGCCCTAGCAGGCAACTGTTAAGCCTGACCAATCACGTTAGAGTTTTTGACAAACACAAATGAATTAACACACTCCAAATAACCACGCTAACCAACCTGATTGGTCAAGCTTAATAGTTGACGGCTAGGACCAGGGGGGTGACAGTGAAATAGGAAAATTGGAAACAGTCATTAGTGTCATTCCTGTCATTCTCCTCACGACAAGTATGGCCGCCTAGACAAGGACAGCATTGTTTTTGTCTAACTATTGTCTAACTTCACAGTTTAGAATTGACAGATTTCAGTTTCAGAGACAACTTCAGATTTGTTCTAGAACAAATTCGAAAATATTCGACGCCATTTTAATTCATTCCGTTTAGTTTCGTTTTGGAAGTTCAATTTAATATTTCGGCTGAAATTTATAAATATAAAGGTAATAAAGTATATAAAATATATATTACATGAAGAATCCTGGAGAAAATGACGTTTCTGCAGTAGTAGGTATGTCCCATGTATATGAAAAATAGGTAGTAAATAAACACTGTTTTTACATTTTTTAGATGCAAGAAAATGGTGTTATAATCTCTTTGATCGGCGATTTTTTTGAAAATGGAAACAATTTACAGCAAGGTAAGATCCTTTTTAACTATAGCCAACATTAGTTATCTCCAGTATGTGCGATTTATTGTCAATAATGCAATAAATCGGACTGATAATCTGATTATGTTATCCGACTAAAAGTCTTTTTTGCATCTTTTTGATTTATAAGCCAGGTTCTTTGGGAATAATGGATGCTTTTTTTAAACAGTATATTTATATTTTATACCTATTGATATTTTTACATTGTTAATTTTAGTATAAAAAATTGTTTTTCTGTTTTCAGGTTTTGTATAAGGCTCCCGTTTTCATATTCCTGTGTCCGTTTTCTGTCCTTGAAGTTTGCGAATGCGTGTGTTTATTTACAAATTACTGTAAGTCATGCTTATACCTTAACTAATTTACGTTAAAAGTGCATATAATTAACTAATTGGTATTGAAACAATACAATCCTTATATTTTTATATTTATTTAGTCACGTTGTTCCATATTTCAAATAAATATATGTGAATAAATTATTTTTTGGTTTTATTTATGAAAAAGAAAAAATACAAAAATACATTTAAACTGAAAGAGGGCCCGCCATTGAATAACCGGAAACGGAAATGAAAATTAAGCCATCATGTCCTTATCATGTCAACCTGTCAATTGGAAAGTTAGTTCTCCAGACGACAATGAAGGCTTTCGGTGGCGTATCGTGTTTCCACGATTTAACACAGAGTTGACACTTCTTTCTAGTTAATTATTTTATGACTGTCACCCCCCTGGCCATCAGTGCCTAACTTTGTCTGGAGCAGCGTTGCCAATCTTTGTGGAATTCCACAAAATGTGTGGAATTCGTAATAATGTTGTGGAACGTTTGTGTAATAGATTAAATGTGGAATTTTGTGGAATTTTCGGAATTATTCCTTTTTTTCTTTTTTTTTTTTTTTTTTTTTTTTTTTTTCCTTATTTAGCTAATAGTAAAAAAAAAACATTATAGGAATTTTACAGATTTCTGTAAAAAGAGCGTCGCCGTCGAGGTCAGCAGCTAGGTTCGGTATTTAGATCTGCAAGCAATCCGACGAAATTTTCGACATATCACATATCACATATCACACGTCACTATATAATGTATGGAGTCTAAAAGGAGGAGGCGAATCGAACGCAAAAATTATGGGCCCAGTTTTTGAGATCTAAATGAAGTTCGAAAATCGCCGTTAGGGGCGCTTTGTGATGATTGGGATACTAGAAATACACAGCTTCTTATGGCAAGAATAACTATTTTGTTATAAATTATAGAGCCAAGTTAATATTTGGGCATATTTTTACCAGAGTTAGCTTTTTAGAAACGTGGTTTTTCTAATTGAGCAATGTGCGTGGCTAAAATTGTGAATACAAAACCTTAAATTTGAGTTTGAAAAGTTAGTTAGGTTATATTAGATGCCGGTTTAATATATCCTTTTCCTAAGTTGATATTATAAAAATGTTTTTATTATGTGGTTCTTTTTAGTGCATACACGACCGAAGAAACATATAAGCTGCTAAAATAAATCTTCCCTAGAACTGTTGTACAAAAAGATAGAAGTTCCAGCAACAAATTTATCACCAGTTCAACCTTTGATTTGATGTAAACAGTAATTGTTTCTTGATGAGAAATGCGAATGAAATAGTTTATGGTGTGATTGTGTTAGTGTTTTATTAATAGTTTTGTTGATGCAGTTTAAAGGTTCATAGTTTTTCATTAAAACATTTGAAATTGACATGTTTACATGCAGTTTAGTGTGATACCATTTTAATAAACATTAAAATCTTTCGAACTAGTAGTGGTTTTATGGCGATTGACAGATTGAATAACGAAAATTAAAGAGTATTTTATCAGAATAACTTAATCATAAATGGAAACTGAAGACGAACGTTACCATTGCACCCTTTGATCGGTGTTATCTATTCCATAACTTTTTATAGCTGAAACTAGAGAGTAGGTATATTGAGCTGAAACGTTTCCTGTGTTCAATAGCGTTTTTCTAGCGTTGAATTGTAAGTTTTAATGTCATTAGCAAAGTTTTGCAAATTGTCACTGTTTCAGTAGACAATTAAATTCAAGATATATTATATTCAATGTCACCTAATAATTGTAAAGGTTTTTCTATTGATATTCACTTTTATTAATATAAGGTAGGTTTGTAAATAAAATATTAATGAATAAATAATGTACTCAGTTTATTTCAAAAGCACAAAAATACAGAGTTGTGAATATGTATATACGCTGACTTATTTCATCATATAAATATTTATTTAGCAATATTAATACATTACAAACTATTTTTCAAATTTGTGAACATAGTAACTCTACTGTCTGTAACATCAACTGGCACATTAGTAATATCACGAAGAATTTCATTCTCATTCTCAAAGTTAGGTTCTGAAGTTTGATTTTCAACATGATTAATAGGCAGACCTTTTACTTTTTTTGAATTAGAAACTTTTTCAGTTGCTTCACTCCTTACACATGGTGGTTTCCTCTTTCTTTTATTACTAGAGAAATATGAAGGCAGGTTAGGAAAAATTCTTGGAATTGAACCCTCCTTTAATAATGGTCTACCCCGCTCAATTCTACTGATAGTTCCGTCAGTTAATTTGATCTCATAATGAGTCAAAATATCTTCATCTAGAAAATGTAGTTCACAAACAGCATCTTTGCTGCTAAGTGTCTTGTCTGATCTGGGTATCGCCTTTTGCCACTGCTGTAGCAAGCTAGGATCCTAATAAAAGATATATAATTGTTAAATAAAATAAAAAAAAAACATTTTTCACTATTAAAGCTGTTATTTTGAGAATACGATCTTGAAGTATAAATATTTAATATTCACTTTCAATAGCACTGTTCAAACTGTGGTTAATATAGGTACATGTCAACAGGTAATTTTAGCACCTAGTAAGTATTAAATTATTTTAATTTTATAACAAGGCCTCCTAGGTTATGTTATACACATGTTGATTTTAGGCTATATTTCCTATTAATTTGGTTTATAATTTAATCTGTACACTGACAGTATATAATTTTAATGTTTTTCTTAACATCTATCCATAATTTTTATAAATAAATAGTCATACTACTTACATTAGGAGCTTTGAAAAGGCTTGGGTTTCTTTCACCCCGTTCTTTATTTGCCTTGTTTTTATTGGGATTCCCACTTGTACAGCCAGGTACAAAGCAATTTCTACCACGACTCATTGTTGTACTGCTAAAAATTCAGTAAATTAACTATAAATTTTATTAAAAACACAATTAAATCGTATACTAACAATGAAAATGTAGTATCCCAGTCGATCGCAGTGCCTCTGCTGTCAAACCGAGGAAGCTGCTTAAAAGTGGGGACAGAAATTTCAAATTTGCCCATTGCCGATAAATCTCCTTTTTTAAGCCCTCCATAATATAATGTAAAGTCCCTTTAAGATCACGTGGTTTATATAAAAAAAAATGTCGGATTGGTCGCAGACCTAAAGAGCGAACCTGGCTAGTGATTGTGGAATTTTGTGGAATTTGGATATGTTCGCCGTGGAATATAATTTTGGACCATTGGCAACGCTGGTCTGGAGCTGTTAGTGTCGTTCATTCCCAAAGTTAAGACGTTTTATGTTGTGTGCCCAGCCTTTTATATTTTATAGTGTATTATTTTAAAAAACTTTTTATTTTGTGTGTCCATTTACAGTGAATTATTCTTTATATGTAAGTACCTAGAAATTCATTTATATATTATAACCTGGCTCGATAAAAGCTAGCTATTAATCCAAGGCATACAATATAATATAATTGTACCTTGGAAATGGCTATCGATGATAAGGAAGATTGATATTCATTAATTGGTTAGATTTACCAGGATTTACTATATAATTTACGGTGATTTTAAATGCCATAAATTGTCATTTCTAAGGTAGCTTTTGTGGTAGCTTGATGCAGCTTTTCGTAATCGTATGGCAATATGATCGAAAAAAAACCGGCGTCACCGTTGGCTATGAAATGAATATCGCTGTCATTCCTCTCTATATGTAAAATTATATGAGGAATGTCATCGATCACGTCATTTCCAAGCCAACTTGACTCCGTTTTTTCGATCATACGGTATTACTTTAGTATTACCTTGTACCTAGGTATAGAAATTTAGAAAACAAAAAGAATACAAAAATAGTTGTATGTATTTTATCCGAGCAATAATTGTAATGTTTAATTTTTAGTTGACTATAAATTTTATGAGCCGCCTTCGTATTGTAAAATTTGAAACCTTTTTTTTTGTAGCTTGTGAAATATGCCACATAGTTGTGCTATTTTGAATTGCAAAAAAACAACAAAAGGATCATTTTTTCGTTGTCCTTTGCCCAAACGGAATATGAATTTATTTATTTTGTGGGTAAATTCCACTGGTAATCCGAAATATCTAACAATGACGCCTGATGAAATATACAAAAACGCTTTTATTTGTGATTATCATTTCACAGAAGAACACTTGGATGAAATGAAAAGAAATATAAAAAGATGCGTCCCATCACTTCACCTACCTGGTAAGTATATTTATACAATTACTTATTTTCTACTCTCTTATTTGCCCATTACAATTTCAATATTTATTTTTGCCTGTCTCTAAAGTCCCTAAAAAAGTTGACCTTTGGCTTAACATTCCTTTAGTATTTATCTATATAGTAGTTTCACAGGTAGTTTTTATTATAAGCACCCCTGACTATTTACTTTAATAAAAATACACAAGGTTAAGGGAAGAGTCATAATTTACAACTTTATTTATCTTTATTTTATGGCTGGGCCGTAAATTCCGAAGGATATTCAAAATTTGCGTCAAAAAAATGCTGCATAGTATTTTTGTTTTCAGTTTTAACTTTTTTGATGACAATTGACATTAAAATGATTGTGTTAATATACAGGATGGTTTCAATTTAATTTAATTCATCAATCATTTAATATATTAAGTGATACTGTATATTATATGATTTTCGAAGTGGATTTAACATAAAATTCACATATTAAAAATTAAAGTATGCCATAATTTACAGTATTGTCCCTGGATTGTCGTTACAAGAGGGGGAAACACTTTTTTATTATTGACATTTTGAGAAAAATGCATTTGTAATAAGAATTTTTGCTTGCTCTAATATGGTTAAACCCGTTTATACTTTTCCAAATTTACATACCGTTTTAGAGAAATTTAAAAAAAAAATGAAAAAATATGGTTGAATTTTTTTTAAGAAGTCCTTAGAATGAAAATTATTTTTATGGCAATTAATTTATATTTCGTTCTTTGATAGATAGATGGTTATTATTAATTTTGAATAACTTCATATTTTTTGCTGCTGTTAAAGTATCACATTTTCCGATAATTATAATCAGCCTTCCCATAGCATTGAACTAAATAAATTCTGTACTTCTAATTGTTGATAATGATAAAAAAACAGCGTCAGCGATGGCTATGAACTGAAGATCACTGTATCAATATCACTCTATCAAAGAATGAAAACGAAATTATATTACCTACCATAGAAACGTGTTTTAGTTGTAGGACTTTAGGGCTAGAAAAAGTTCAACCACATTTGTATGTTTTTTTTATTTTCTCTAAAACGGTATGGTAGAATATTTTTTTAAAAAAAAATTGGAATTTTTTTTTAGTTTTTACTTAAAAAACATAATTTCTTGATAATATGGCATAGGTAGTAGTTTAAATTTACAAGAAAGAAACCCCAGAAAATATCCAGTGGTTCTCAAAATTAAGCAAAAAATATTTTTTTTTTGGAAATTTTCAATGTAAAATTACTCAGCTATTTTGGACTTATTTGAAAAATGGTAAAGAGAAAATATGTGTCTTTTATCGAAGTTTAACAGCCCTGAAAATATTTGCACTTATTTAAGACTCGCCCTATATAATGACATTGTATTTTTTTCTAATGCACGCTCAGCCTGGGACACCCTGTATATGTACGCTAGGTGCTGCTATGCACAAACCTGCTTTCAAAAAAAAAATCCAAAGCAATGTAAATCAAAATATTTGATCTGAAATAGTATTTTTTAGGGCTTAATTAAGAATATTTTTGAGGACATACAATAACTTTACACAAATTTTAATATTAAATAATATAATTTTTTTTTGGTTTTGCAGATCCTGTGGATTACAATTTCGTGGAGAATCAAGAAAATATTGATATTACAAATATAAACGACCCTGAAACGACCAAGATTTCACCAACTTATCCATTCATTCTAATGAAACATAAACCAGATGATATAGATTCCACATATAACCCTTCTCCAAAGATTCAAAGGACAGAAGCTTTGCCCGGACCATCTGTTCAGCATTATACAGATCTTACAGGAGAAGTTCAAGGTAGAGACCTGCCAGGTCCATCAATGGACTACAATGTTGATGAAATTGCCTCTACATCAAGAACCCTGTACACTGATACTGGCTCGCCATTGACGATCTCATCAAATGGAAAGGGTAAGACATGCTTAAATTTACATTGTCACATTTACAAATTTTAAAGTATTCTGTATATTTATATGTGCAGCAAAATATAAGATTTTTGCTTTGTTTTTAAAATAACATAGATTTTAAGAACTCCTATATTTTCCAGGTAAAAGGAATAGAAGCACCCCAACTGGTCTTCATTACATTCGGCGTAAATGTTTATCGCCAAAAACATTAGAGCTGTATGAAGAATCTAGAAAGTGGATCCGAAAGGCAAGAAGATTACAGTCAACGAGGATTTCAGCCAAAAAACAAATATCTGAAGCACGTAAGCTCATTCTTTCACAAACTGTACAAAATTTGTTAGAAAAAATGTCCCCCTTTCAAAAAAGGTTTTTTGAATGTCAAATCAGAAATGCTTCGAAAAAACCACAGGGTAGAGTTTTTACTTTAGACGAAAAAATTGACTCGTTATTATTATGGAAAACCAGTCCTACAATGTATCACAAATTAAGATATTTGGGTTTTAAATTACCTAGCCCCGTATCTCTACGAAAAATTTTGGCACATATTAATATGAATCAAGGCCTATCTGAACCTGTTTTCCAATTAATAAAAAGTCAAATTAGTAATATGAAAATACGGGATAAATATTGTGTTTTGCAATTTGACGAAATGGCCCTTCAAGCCCATTTAGACTATAATCCATACAGTGATAATATAACAGGGTTTGATTTTGAAGAACGCTACATAGCAGATCATGTGACAGTTTTTATGCTGCGTGGCATCTTTAAAAACTGGAAGCAGCCAGTGGCATATTTATTTAATAAGTCATCATTGCCAGCTGCTGTAATATCAGTCTATTTTAAAGATGTTATTGCACACTGCAAAGAAGCTGGCCTTGAGGTTTTAGCGTCAGTTTGTGACCAAGGGGTTAATAATGTAAAGGCCCTCTCATTATTGTTTGATGAATCTCGACGATTATGCTTTTTAAAAAATGAGGAATATGAAAGTGGACTTATTTATATCCACGACACAAAAATAGTGGCATTATATGATGTTCCTCATCTTTTAAAAAGCATTCGTAATAACCTAATCAATAAAGATTTAGAGTTTTATTTGGAAAACGTGAAAAAAACTGCATCATGGAATCATATAACGGAGGCTTATAATATTGACCGATCAAATAATATAAGAGTAATGCGCAAAATAACAGATTGGCACATATTACCCGATAAAATTAAAAAAATGAAGGTGTCATATGCTACACAGATTTTTAGCGAAACATGTGCAAGTGCTATTAAATATGCTGCGCTATCGGGTCTGAAATCTAAAGATGGTTTGTCACAAATTGACGCAACAGCCTTAAGTACAGCAGATTTGCTATTATTTTTCGATAAACTATTCGATAGTTTGAATTCATTATTTGTAAGTGATAAACCATTACGAAGTGTTGTAGGACCTAAGTCTCCTCATCTTGCTTTATGGATGAGAAGTCTTAAGGTCCTTCAATCCATGAAATTTATAAAAAGAAGGCAAACAGATAGGAGTATACCTCCAGTACTTAATGGATGGGTACAAACCATTCAAGGTTTTATCAAGGTAAAAAAAATATTAATGAATCTGGGTGAGCTTAAATTTGCGACAAGAATGTTCAATCAAGACACGTTGGAGAATTTTTTCTGCCAAATTCGCCAGTATGGCGTTAGAAATACTAACCCAACCTGTACAGCCTTTAAAGCTTATTATAGATCACTTCTGATAAAAAATATTAAGTATCAGCCTAGAGGTGCAAATTGTGCTGACGATTTATCTTCAACGCTGTTATCCTTTAAAGAAATTTTAAATATTAAAGATACCTCACAGGAGACAACAGATCGTTGGCATCCACCGGATGTCAACGTACTAAGCATTGAGGCCATTGAGATAGCCTCTTTAAGCTATGTTAGTGGGTTCATTTGTTATAAAATTTTACCAAAGGTACCAAATTGTGAAATTTGCAGAAACAATATTCTACACAGAGGCGAACTAGATAGTTTCCATCATTTTTTAATTAAGATTAAAGATTACGACCCAAATGTAAGAAAGCTAAAATACGCCAATATAAAGTTAATTAAAAATATTATACATATATACCAACTTTTGCAAGAGCTAGTTCCTAGCATTCTAACTAAAAAACATATTCAAAAGAGACTTAAAAGCGTTATTCAGTGTAAAGTTACATTTAATTTTGCTGATTGTGAACATAAAGATAGTATAGAAAATCTAATTTTTAATTATTTTATAAAAATATATATTTTTAATTATATAAAAAAATTAAATCTAATTTTAATGGGTAAATTGAATCCAATGAACAAAAATTCAATAGAGCTAACATGTTTTGAAATCTACAAAAAAAGAATAAAAAGAAAAAATAAATAAAAATGTATAACAAAAAATAAATGATTTTTATTATAAACTTCCTTGTCATATCTGGTATATAATCAATTCACATGTGTTATTAATCATACACCTATTATTAAGTTGAATCTGGTAGTACTTTTTGATTGTGATATAGAAAATATTGTAATGTGATTTTTACCGCATGTGTATTGTTTAACGATTATAGACTAGATAATTTGTTTGACAAGTATATTAAATCAAACATCTTTTACAACATATTTTTTAAAAAATATATTGTATAAGATGTTTATTTAAATTTACTTCAAACAAATTATCTGGCATAAAATCATCCTAGTTTAAATATTGTATGATCGAAGAATACGGCTTCAAGTTAACTTAGAAATGACTATTGATGACATTAATCATAGAACTTTACAAAGAAAATGTTATCGATCGTCATTTTTAAGTTAACTTGGAATCGTTATTTTCGAACATACGGTATATTAAATTAATTAGGTGTAATATAATACTATAGATGGCGCTGCTAAAATTGTTTTGAATGCAGTGCAGATTTCTTTTTAAAATTTAATTGCAGATTTCTTTTTTTAAATTTAATTTGTAGTTCTAAATCCGTGTCATAGATGGCGTATCAAAATGTTGTCCTAATTTTTTGTACGGAAGATTTCGTTCTGTTTTAATCTGTTCTGTGTGAACTATAAATGTAAACGTGCTTCATCCAAACTATTTTAATAATTAAAACACTGAGATAACGTAAAGATAAGTGATGCAAATAATTATTTTAAGGATAGAATCGGTAAAATAATTCTTGTTATGTTTGTGTTTTCAGTATCTATTTTAAGGTGAGTGAATTTAAAACCATGACCTCGAAAAAAAATAGGTTATACCCTTGATTATGTATGTTGTACTAAAAAATATTTTAAAATTCAACCAAAAAAAAAGGAGCCAAAATCTTATTAAGTCAATGTTACGCAAATATGACTTCAATATTGTACATTAAACTGGATTCAGACCAAAGTGATTTTTTATTATCCTCTGTACATCATCAAAGTAGTAGTATCTCTGGTAATATCATTGAAAATTTCTGTTCTGATAAGTGTAGTTCCAGTGCTGAAATTTCTTACAATATAGTATTTATATAGGTATTTATGTAGGCTCTTCTATAATCATTTATTGTGTATTTTTTAAGAGAAAGGTATTTTTTAGAATTATTAGGTTCGAGAATTATCTAGACTTGGTGGTTCAGGAGTAGCACAAAGTACAAGAAAATGCTTTATAAGGTTCTGGGCAATGAAATTGCACAAAAATATTCTTGGGATGGGGCCAAACAGAAGAGAAGTTTGAAATCCTTGTTAGTGGCCAAAAGCAATTTTAGGCATTTGAACTTAAAGATATTTGGTGTTGCAAAGACTGTAATAACATATATTTTAGACTCCATGAAAGGTCAATTTCAAGAGTCAAAAGAAACCGAAATTATCAATATAATTAAAATATGGCTTGTAAAAACAAAAGAAAGATTAAAAAATACCAAGGGTAAGTTGTGCAAATTTATTTGAACAGTATAATTCTGCTGATATTATTTCAGAAGGGTAGACAAGAGAATATAGAAACATAGACATAGAAGATAATATCAATGTATATCGTTATATTAAAATATTTTTAATTAATAAACATATATTACTCAAGTTCGTCTTTATCCTTACCTATTATTTTTAACCGTTCTATTTATTAGTTAATTTTTGATTATTACACACCAAATTATTTAATTTCAGCAAATTGTTTGTAGTGTGTTCCAGATATGAATGTACTGTATAGGTATCCTATAGAGAGAGATAAAAAAATTGCGAAATATGAAAAAAATTGTATCTATATAGTTTATAGGATATTGATACAGGGCATCCTTATACAGGACACCCAGTAGATACAGAGTTGAGGGTTGGAATCTTTGGTGTTACAACAGCAAATTAAAACACTAATTCACCACAATATACCAAAACACTTTACTTTTTTAACTGGACGCTTGTTTGGTTAATCATCTTAGCGTCATCAGCAGATGATTAAAACTTAAATTTTGACCATCTGCTGATGATGCTAACATGGTTAGCGAAACGCGCGTCCTGTGCAAAAGTAAAGTGTTTTGGTGTATTGTGGTAAATTAGTGTTTTATTTTGCCTCTGTAGATAATAAAAAAATATGAAAAACATATATGATATACATATCTTGGAATGTGAAACGCACTTCTATATCACTTGAATAGGGTGGAACGTAATCTCTGCTATTCATGTGCCATATATGTTCCCAATGAAAAAAAGGAATGTGAATAGAACATTGTTGTTCTCCAAAGTCACTTGCTTCGCATATGAAAAGAACGTAAATGTGCTATCTGGGATTACTATTAATATAAATTGGATTAACAGTTTTTCTAATATTGTAAATTAAATTTATTAATGGATTATTTTGTAAAGTTAACAATTTAGACAGAAATTTGCCTACAAGTATTTTTCTTCTACATTCTAAATCAATCATAGAAGATTCTCCCAACAACGCTAATCTAGGAGTAGATTTCATACAACCTAGACAAATACGTAAACCCTCAAAAAATACTACATCTAGTTTATTTAAATTTTTTTGACTAGTTGGTTTAATAAAAATTGTTGCAAATTCCAAATGAGATCTCACCAGAGCAGAAAAAATAATTAAAAGGGTACAAGGATCAGCTCCCCACCACACTCTACAAACAGCCCTTAAAACATTTAAGGCTTTTTTAGCCTTATTAGTAATATTTTCAATATGCAAATCCCACTTTAAATGTTTTTGAAAAATAACGCCCAAATACTTCACATTATGTTTATATGGAATAATGTGATTTCCAAGTTGAATCAATGGTGGCTGATCTCTCCGTTTGCCCTTAGTGAACCATACTGCCTCACATTTTTCCAAAGATAAAGAAAGATCTCTATTAATAAGAAAATCATTTACAAGCTCCAAAGCATTATTAATTTTTTCAGACATCTCAAGTATATTTGAACCCTTAACAAAAATTACCAAATCGTCCGCATAACCAATAATCTTTACATTTAAATAATTTTTAAAAAGTTCTGAAATATAAATATTAAAAAGAATAGTACTTAATGGAGAACCTTGCGGAATACCTTTAGTTGCTAAAACCGGACCTAAGAAGGAACCATCAGATTTTCTGGAAAATAACAATCTATTTTTCAAAAGTATAAAAATTAAATTAGATAATTCTACTGGAATTTGTAAATTAATAAGCAAATTATAGAGTTTGTATATGTTAACATTATCATATGCAGATTTTATATCTAAGAAAACAGCAATAACTGAATTTGACGAATTAAAGGCATCAAAAATAAAAGTAGATAAATAAGCAATATTATCATATATTCCCCTACCCTTACGAAAACCTACCTGTTCATTTGTAAACACAATTTTATTCTCCAAAAACCAATCTAAACGATTTTTAATCATAATTTCTAAAATTTTGCCACCACATGAAGATAATACAATAGGTCTATAACTCTCTGGCAAAGTAGGATTTTTGTTTTGTTTTAAGATATTAATAATATTATATTTCTTCCACGAATCCGGTAACACACCTTCAAATAAACATTTGTTATATATTTTAAGAAGATAATTTTTAGCAATCAATGGTAAATTTTTATACATGGAATAAGAAATATCATCCATGCCAGGTGCAGAAAATTTTTTATCCTGAACAGCATAGTTAAATTCCTGACTAGTGAATGGAGGAATGTTACTATTTATATATGTTGGCGACAGTGTAAAATTCGGATCTATGTATATACTAGACATATTATATAAAATTTGTTGTTTTAAATCATCTGAAATGTTATAACTATTAGAATTGCTGTTATTATTAGAAAATTTTTTAATTTTTTCCCAAACGTATGAAATGCTAGATTCCCTATTTAATGTTTCACAAAAAGATTGAAATTTTTGTTTTTTCTTTGATCTTAATTTTTTTCTCGTAACTGCAATACATCTTTTAGCATTGATAAAATTAGTCAAAGTTGGAACATTATTGAAAACATTAATTGCTCTTTTTCTGTCTTGAACCCACTGAAAACATTCTTCATCCCACCATGGGTTTCCAATTTTATGATAAGAACCACATTTTTTCAAAGGAATGGCATCATCAGCAGCTCTATTCATAATAAAAGACAAATCATTATAATCTAAAATAGTACTATCTTTCTCGATTAACTGCACAGCTATTTTATGTTGATAAAGATGCCAATCAGCTTTACTACAATTTCGTACACAATAACTATTTACAAAAGCTTTTTTTAAATATAAATTGTTTGATAAATTTAATTGTAAAATTGTAGGATAATGATCGCTATTTCCACAATCACTAATAACTTTCCAGTTAGAATTTATAGCTAATGCGCTACTGACAATTGTTAAATCAACTGCACTCAAACTGGAATTCGGATTTTGCACAAGAGTTCTAGAACCATCATTTAAAATCACCATATCATTTTCTATAATAAAATTTACAAGCCTTATTCCGCCCCTATTAATAGGAGATTCATCCCATAATGGATGATGGGAATTAAAATCTCCCATAATAATAATTTTATTTAAATCTAAACCATCTAAAAGTTGTTTAAACAGATCTTCCGAAACATTTTTATCTGAATTAATATAAATATTAATTAATATTAAATCAGCAATTTTAATAATAATAAATTGAGCAACTTCTGAATTAAATTTTTTTAAATTAGAAAAAATAATATTCTTTTTGACGCAAATTGCCACTCCACCATATCCATCTTCCCTATCCTGACGAATTATATTATATGATGATAAAACAAAATTTTGATTGGATTTTAGCCATGTTTCATTTAGAAAAATTATATCTGGAGACTCTTCATTTGCTAATAAGATTAAATTAGCACGATTTGAATTAACACTACGAATATTCCATTGTAAAATTTTTATATCTGATGTAGACTTCATATTGTCATTAATCTAAATTATAAATACAATATATAATTATAAATAATATGTATAATATTTGTATATGTACCATATATGTACTAATATAAATGTAATCTTTAAATATGTGTTAAAATAAATAAAATAACATTAAAAACCTATATCTTGTTCAAAATCTAAACTTGAAAATAATAAATTCTTAATCTTGCTTTTATTTTCTCTTGACGTATTCATAATAAAATTAATGCAATTATGTAACTCATCATTTTGATGAAATTCAAATGTCTGAATGGCACTACCAGGCTCAGTTTTAGAATTATGTGAAATAGAAGAGGTATTAGAAGAGGTAGACGGTAAATTTGAAAAATCTTGCTTTTGCGGTCTTGAATTTGGAAAAAATAGACAATCATCTCTAGCTTTTTTATCCACTCCCTTATGAACTATCCTTTTCTTGGCTGAATTTTCAGATATAACCTGTTGAAAGGACCTTTTTACACTATTTTGGAAATACTGTGTTCTTCTTTCAGAAGGTTTAATAATATTATCAATTTTCTTTGGTATATCTTCCCCATTATGTTTTTTAATTAATTCTGGAAAGTTATTGTTGTTCAAAAAAAATTCTCCATTTGAAATATAAGATTTTTTACATGTCTCACTGGCATCATAAAAAGTTAAATTTTCGAGGGCCATTAATTCTTTAATATTTTTTTGTCTAGAATATTCAGGACACTTTTTTGATGATGACTTGTGGTCATTCTTACAGTAAAAACATTGTGTAACACAAGAAAATTTAACTTCCCCATCTTGTAAATGATTCTCCTCCTCTCCGCAATTAAAACATCTTTCTTTACCTTTACAATTGTTCTTAGTATGGCCAAAACGAAGACAGCGATAACACTGAGTTACAGGAGGAATATATACATTAACTGGACGTTCTAATCTATATAAATTTATCGATCTAGGCAGTATAATTCCTTTAAAAGTAAACAAAACAGTTCCAGTTGGTTCATATATAACAACATTATTTTTAAATACTTTTCTATTTAATCTCTTTACTTGTAAAATTTCAATTCCATTATTAGCTTTACAAAATTTCAAAATTTCTTCTTCGGTCAAGTCCGCATCGATTTGTCTTACAATTCCTTTGCAGGTAACAAAATTATATGGTATAAATATTTTATACCCTTTCTCAATTAATGTTTTATTTTTTAAAAAATTATTTGCTGATTGAAAATTAATAAATTCAACAGAGATTCTATTTAGACCTTTATTATTAATTCTCCTTATATCAGTCAAATTTAAATTAAAAATTTCTCTAGCTATTTTTATGTTATTAAACTTTCCAATGTTATAGCCAACATTAACCGTCGATTCCAAATAAACTACGAAAGGACCATTATCATTTTTAGAATAAAAAATTGTTTTTTCATTTTTAAATTTTGACTGCGTTGAACCCAAACTAATTTCATCCACCATATCAACAGTATCAATATTAACATTTTGAACGCCATCCAGGGGGTATCCGCTCCCCCTAGCCTTAAGCCCCGTTCTCAGAACTGCGTCGTGTCGACAGCGACACTGATTGACACTTCAAACGACCAATGGGAGCTATACTAAATTTAAAATTGACAGCTGTTTGAATTTTGTACAAATCTCAATTGGTCCTCTTGACGTGTCGCTGGCGACAGTCGCAGTTCTGAGAACGGGGCTTTACTCATATTTAAAAAAAAAAATCAAGCACTAATGAATGTATTATATACAAAAAATAAAAATATATAACAATATGAACAAATCAAAAAATTCAATTAACCTAAAAAAAAAAAAAAAAATAATGCTCAACTTACCACAGGAAGGCCTAAGGTAAAGGTGCAAAAATAATTAAAGCTTTCAGCGTTTTTTCGGCAAAAAAAAACTCTTAAAGATTTCACAAATATCAGAGCTGGGTCACCAAACAAAGCTGAAATAAATGTCCAAAAAACCGCAGTCCTAACAGCACTAAAATTAACTAAAAAATTAATATTTTTTTCAGACAGAAAATGACAATGTCACAAGCACCGAAAAAAATTTGAAGTTGTTATCTATGGTTACTTTTCATTTTTTAGATTTATGCGTTTTTAGCGCCACTGTGGTCATTTGGCGAACCCTTATTCTTCCCATTTTGTGACCACTTTTTCAATAAAAGTCCCATAAGAGTTATTTCTCCTCATATTTACAACACACAAACTATTAAAAATAGCTAAAATTGTCGCCATATTGTCGCTGGTGACCAAATGATGACTCATTGTTTGCCACCAAAACAAAAAAAAAAGGTCACAAATTCTGCTGCAGCCCGTATAGGGGCGTTACATATGCGTTACGGTTACATACTTTGAATAAGAAGACTAAGGAAGGAGCCACAAAACATCCCCCTTTAGAACTTCGTCTGTCATGTTAAGAAATGAAAGTAAATAATAAAGCGCCTCTCGTGTTTGTTCGCACTCAAAAAATTTCAATTAATGCCTGTATATATTTTTAATATATTTTTAAATGTACATTTTTTTAATTGTTAAGTAATATATTACATTTAAATGGAATATATTACATAACAATTATGTCAATTACAGGATTACAAGCTTGTTTTCTAACATTTTTTAATAAAACGAATTATAAAATTTCAATATATGTATATTTGTCGCAAGTATGAAAAAAGTAAAATATAAAATGGACAAACGCTTACTTACATTGCAATAAAACTTCCACTTTTAGTTTTGCAATCCAAACGCAATATTTCTATTTCACAAGCCAAAAAATATCCGACAACACTAAAATCACTGAAACTTCCGCGGCTGACAACGAAAACTGAAAAACATAACGGCATTTTTTGTTTTGGACCTGCATATCAACATTACGCTGTACTATTATGTGTTTGTTGTTGAAATAATATTAAATATCTAATTATAACTTGTACATTTTAATATTTTAACATGATTTTAACTGCTTTTGACAATAACTAACTTTTTGTTATCAAGATGACATTTTAGACGGCAACTGACATATATGTCATAATATTTGAATCTTAAATATGTATGTAATATAATTTAAATTACTATAATGCAACTTTATACTAAGAAAAACATTTATACATTCACAAAAATACAACAAAGTCTAATAATATAGTTTGAAAACAATGAATATTGAATTAAAATTGAAAAAGTTAAGCGCGACCCCTTGTGTCAAAATTAGATGATTAAATTTTCGCAATTTTTACACCATTTGATGACCGGTGGCGCCTCTAGTGTTTGTTCGGGCGGTTGGTCTTTTACTCCCGCTTATGGCCATTAAAGAAAAAGTTCTAAAGGGGGATGTTTTGTGGAAGGAGCATATCAAAAATATTAGATTAGGTACACCGCGATGGGCCTCAAATATGGCCGACTTAAATTCCGGTTTATCAGTGTCGTTCTAATTTTATTTAAAAAATGTAAAACTATGATGTAGGGTAGACGTGGGGTAGAATCAATAATTTGTTGTTTTATTTTACGTTGTGAATAAATGTTGGTAGTTATTAAAATTGTTATAAAAATATATAATTCTAATAAAAATAGATAAGTTATAATAAGTATTTATTAACACAAACATACGATACGCTTCTGAAGCAGGTAAGTCAAATTAACGTATCTAAATTCTTTGACATCTAATCTTTGACAAGTAATAAATAAAAGCTAAAATGCAAGAAAAATATATAATTTAGTTAATTTAAGTGAATTTCATAAATGATCGGTTTACTACACGTATGTATATTATATAGTCACTTACTAGCGAAAAAGTTGTTCCATTATTTCACTCAATTTTGCCGAGATCTACCGCACGCTACACAACCAACTATTTTAGAGTCTTTTTTCGATAAATCGCGATAGTGTCACTGTTAATTTAAGTTCTGCCACAATTTCCATCTAGATTTACTACCTTTATACAACTATCAGTAGTAGAATAAATAATAAATAACATAAAATAAGCTCCGTAAAGACTGACAAATCCACAAAATTTCAAATCAAATTCAAATGTGTCAAATGATTCGTCAAACAGAACTGTCAAGGATCCCCACCCTAGAGAGCTTTTATGGTGGCTTTTCCGCCCACCATGCATGAATACATGGATAGCATTATGCTCCTTCCTTAGTCTTCTTATTCAAAGGTTACATCTGGGTTACATATTCTTTAGTCATAGCAATGGACATTTCATATATATTTGTCTTTCTTCTCAACTATGTATGATCTATTAAATTATATTATATGATTGAAAATAATAGATGCAAATTTTCGAGGAGGTTGAATTTTTGGTATTATTCAAGCTTGTGATTCAAGCACATTTCAAGCAGTCAAGGTAGAAAACGAAGAGAAAACGTAGAGAAGTATATGCATTTTTCAAATCAAAGTGTCGAATCATATATCGGTTCTTGTGTCGGTTAAACTAGTGGGCGAAAAGTCAATTTCAAAAATTTTGACAGATATTTCGGTAGGGTTTTAATTAATTAAAGGTGTCTGAAAATTGAATAAAAAAGTGTTAGAAGAGTTGTTTTTTATATTACTTTTTTATATATTGCTCGTTTTTTAGGATAAATCAGGATAAATACTATAGAACTATTCACATGGTCATCCCTAGAGTCTAAATTTAATTTTTAAATTACTTATTACACATAAGTAATTTGCTAAGTGTATTCCTTTTTTGGTATATGAATCATTATTTTTATATAATGGAGAACAATTACAATAACGATATGGTTTTTTTAGACGAAAAAATTGTAACTGAAGTGACATGGAAGACGAAGAGTACAAAAAATTACCACCTGAAGAAAAAGTTGTTCATAAACTCTGGAAGGCTAGAGTATGTGGATATGAAGAAGTTACAAAGATATTTCGACAAATTGATGATGAGAAATCTCCAGAATTTAGCAAATACCTTGGATTAGTTAAAAAATTTGTAACAGACAGCAATGCAATGGGTCAAGAGAAAGGTCTCGAGGCCACATTGGCTTATATTGAAAATTATGCACACGCCGGTAAAACTGTATCTGAAGTAATGACTGGAATTGTTATGAAGTGTGTAGCTGCTCCAAAAACAAAAACAAGAGAATTAGCTTTGCAAGTTACCTTAATGTATATTGAAATTGAAAAATATGAAGCTGTAAGTTTATCTCACAATAATCGTATACATTTACTTTTTACTTGTTTGTTAGGTACAAGAAGAATTAATTAAAGGTACAGAACAAAAAAATCCAAAAATTGTAGCAGCCTGCATACAAGCTCTAACTACAGCCTTACATGAATTTGGCATTAAAATTATAAGTCCAAAATCAATGATTAAAAGAATTGGAATATTGTTTTCGGATAGAGATAAAGGTGTTAGAGATGAAGCTCGCCTCATGGTCATTGAGTTGTACAAATGGATGGGTCCAAGTCTTAAGTAAGTTATATATTTTACTATATAAAGTCTTTTAGCTATATTTTAAGAGTTTTAAATAATGACTAAAGCTTAAAATACATTTTTAAAGAAATCACCTTCAATCTGCCAACTTGCAAGCTGTTCAAATGACAGAGCTGGAAGCTGAATTTGCAAAAATTAAAAATAAAAAGGCAGTTCCTTTAAGGTATATTAGATCTCAACAACCAAAGCAAGCAAAACTGGTCTCTGAAACAGAGGACATAAATGGTATACCTTTGAAACTGATCTGACCTTTGTATAGTGTTTTACTTTATTTTATTTTACTTAGGTGATGATAATGAAGATGAAATTGAAAATACACCACAAGAAATTGATCCTTACGATTTAGCAGATCCAGTTGATATATTGTCTAAATTGCCAAAAGATTTTTATGAAAAATTAGAAGCAAAAAAATGGCAAGAAAGAAAGGAAACTCTTGAGGCTCTGGAAACCCTTACTAAAAACCCTAAATTGGAGAATGGAGATTATGGTGATGTTGTGCGAGCTTTAAAAAAGGTTACGTTCTAAAAAGTAATATATTCAAATCGTATTGTATTTTTTATTGTATCCAGGTAGTACAGAAAGATTCCAATGTTATATGTGTGGCATTGGCAGGTAGATGCATAGCTGGTCTTGCATCTGGCTTAAAGAAAAGATTCCAAACCTATTCGGGAGTATTGATTTTAACACTCTTAGAAAAATTTAAGGAAAAAAAGCAAAATGTTGTTATGGCAATTCGTGAAGGCATTGATGCTACTTACTTGACAGTAGGTTCCTATAAGTCTTGTAACATCATATTTTATAAGGTTTATATGTTTTAGACTAATTTAGAAGCAATTTTAGAAGATGTACTGGAATCTCTTAATAACAAAAATCCATCAGTAAAATCTGAAACATCTTTATTTTTGGCTAGATCATTTACTAAAACACAACCATCATCAGTAAACAAGAAACTACTTAAAGCTGTAACTGGTGCTTTAACAAAAAACATAAATGAATCTGGTAAGAAAGTATTAAAACACCTTGTTACACACTAATATAGGTAATTATTCTATTATTGAATATTATCATTATATTATTTAATATAGACCCAGCTGTGAGAGAAACATCTGCTGAAGCTTTGGGTACTCTTATGAAATTAGTAGGGGAGAAAGCAATTGGTCCATTTTTAGTAGAACTGGAAAGGGATGCTCTGAAAATGGCTAAAATTCAAGAATTTTATGAGAAAGCAGAAATTACTGTTAAAGTTTCCAGTCCTAAAAAATCTCGGCCACAAACAGCCCCATCCAAAGTGACCACTAAAGAGGATGTCCCTACTAAACCAGTGAAAAAACCTTCAGGTATACTACGATTTGGTTTCAATTTATTTTTTATTTTCTTTTTTTTTTCTATTTCAATTAAATAATAGGTAATAGAGTTGCAAAAAAGAAACCTGCAGCTTCAGCTCTTTCTTCAGGTTCGGCAACAGTAGTAAGGTCTAAAGGTAGCAAGTCAGCTACCAAAACATCTATGAAAACTGTTGAAAAGGAATTAGATGATGGAGAAGTTGATTCTATTGTTGAAGCCTTGTTATCTCACAGTACTATAAGTGAATTGACAAGTCCGACATGGAAGACCAGGTAGTATTGTATTAATTTTTACAAACATCTGATATTATTTATCTTATAAATTTTAAATTAGGTTGACTTCTTCTGAAGAAATACTGTCAACAGTTCAAGGCATGGAAGCAAAATCTGTTCCCACCCAAGCAGTAGTGAAAATTTTGATGAGAAAACCGGGTCTCAAGGACACAAACTTTCAAGTATTAAAGGTCAAATTGGACATTATTAAAGTATGTTCTTTAGACATACTATATACTTTAGACATAATATAAAAAAAATATTTATCATTTTTTATTAGTATTTGGCAGAAAATAGTGTTGTTTCCACAACCACAGTAGACTGTTGCATCAACGATATATCCGAGAAATTCGGCGATGCTAAAAACGGAAACATCGTAATTGAAACTGTCACAGCTATGGCTGAAGCTACTAGTTTAGGCCATGTCTCCCTGGCCGTCTTGGATTTTGCTTTTGGTCAAAAAAGTCCCAAAGTTCAACAAGAAGTCTTAGCCTGGTTATCTGTTGCTCTCAAAGAGTTTGGAATAGCGTAAGTCAAATCTACACGGTGTGCTAAAAAGTTCTTAAAACAGATGGGACATTTTAATAACAAAATAAATGATTTTGACATACAGGGTGGCCTACTTGTACGAGGTCCAATTTCATTGTTGTCGAAGATATGAAAAAAAGTTTTATACAGATGTTGCATGGTTTATAATAGTGCATATTCTAAAAATATTTTGTTGAATTCAGGGTGCCACAAACAAAAAAGTTATCATAAAGTTTTTCTAAATTGCATCCCCAATTTTTCTGTAGATAATTGGATTCAACATAAAATTCTGTATATAGCAAACTATTTTTATTCGAAACACTATGCGGTGTTGCCATTCTATTTCTTATTTACTAAAAATGGTTAAAAACGCTATATCCGAAAAGTGGCTAAAAATTGGACTGAATATAACTTTGTTAATGCTTAGCTATATTTTCCCAAACACTAAAGCCCCGTTCTCAGAACTGCGACTGTCGCCAGCGACACGTTAAAAGAACGAATGAAATTTGTACAAAATTCAAACAGCTGTCAATTTTAAATTTAGTACAGCTCCCATTGGTCGTTTGAAGTGTCAATCAGTGTCGCTGTCGACACGACGTAGTTCTGAGAACGGGGCTTGAAGCTCCGCGCGCACTGCATCGGATCGGACCGACCAGCAAAGGCGACTGCGACCATCGTACATATAGACGGCGCCGGCGTCCACTAAAACATTTCGGCCTGTAGAGGCCAGATTCCTACCTCTACCTATCTACGATAGTCGAATCACCGCCTTCGCCGGACTGGTACCGATTCAGTGCGCGTACACCTTAAGGATAACAATAAATCCGCGAAGAAAAATTTACTTTATCCTATACAGAGTATTTTTTAGTTAATAGTATTTTTTATGGTGTCACTAAAATCTGAATATTTAAAATATCTCTATTTTATCTCTAATTTTTCTATTTTTTTAAATGTCTTATTAAACGTAAAAAGTTTTAGAAATATAGAAGGACTTTAAAACAAAAACAAAAAAAATATACTATAAATATATATATAATACCAAACCAAACCAAACTAATTCACCACAATAGAACAAAGCACTTTACTATTGCACTGGACGCGCGTTTCGCTAACCAAGTTAGCATCATCAGCAGAGTTTTAATCTGCTGATGACACGACATAACGTAACATAACGCGACATGACGTAACATGATTAGCGAAACGCGCGTCCAATACAAAAGTAAAATGTTCTGGTGTATTGTGGTGAATTACTATTTATTTCGTTGTAACACCAAAGCTTCCAACCCCCAACTATAATAGAAGAACTTTCAAAAAAATCAGTTTTTGAATTATTTTTCGAAAAAAATTATATTTTTTTGCATAAATGCCTTTAGAAAAAAAGACTTTTTTCGATATTTTGTCACCTAAGCCCACTTTTTGCACATCATTAAAAAATCCCTTTTGTTGTGACCTTTTTGGTACACCCTGTATAAATGAAATATTGAAGTTCTATTTAAATATTTTTTTAGTGGAGTAAATGTAAAAGCTTTGATCGATTATTGTAAAAAAGCGCTAGCTTCAACCAACCCTGGGGTCAGGCAGGCGTCAGTCACTCTGCTTGGCACAATGTACCTCTATATGGGTTCAGCTTTACATGTATTTTTTGAAAACGAGAAACCCGCCTTAAGGGATCAAATCAACGCGGAATTTGATAAATATGAAGGGGAGACCCCTCCTACACCTGTTAGGGGTAATACAACATGTTTTCTCATAGGCGCTTTACTTTTTTAAACCGATATTAATCTAAATTTAGGCGCTGTAGCCAGGTCGTCTAGTTCAAATAGTTTAGATGCTGTAGAAGATGAAGGTACTGCTGAACAAGAACCTGTGAATGTGCAAGATCTTCTTCCCCGTGTTGATATAAGCAGTCAGATTACTGATGCTGTGATAAATGAATTGGCCGATAAAAACTGGAAGGTATAATCCATCAAATCAGGGTAGTTTTTAAATAAGTGTATTATTTTAAGGTGTGGTGGTAAGATGCATTTTTTCTATTTACCATTTTTAAATTTAATTGGAAATAACTGAGTTATTTCCACCTTTTATGTATTTTAAGAATGCTTGCTTACATAAAGGCACCTGCTCCATCTGTAAATTATTTTCAGGGTTACAATGTTGCCGCTTCATACTAAAAGTGGAAGCATCTTTGTTACTTTATATGGAACAACCGATATATATTACATTTTTTGAAACAACTTTCATATCTCATAATTTTTCTGTTATATTAACCTATACCTATCTCTAATAGTTTTCGAGATAAAAAAAAACGTGTAAAATTGATAAAAATGTGATTTTGAATAAGCGTTGATTAAGTCATAAATTAGGCATGAGAGTGAGTAAGAGGGGGGGGGGTTAATCACTGCGACCTTAAAGATCTATTGTGCCCCCCTAAATTAGGCATATTGAAAGCTGAAATTTGGTTTATAGGTTAAGGAAAGTCGACATATCCGACCCTTGATACAAAGGAAACAAGGTATGATCGATAGCGTCTCCAATTTCGTTCAGTTTGCGTCTTTTTATTTTTTAAATAATATACGTAGGGTTGAATTTAAAATAACAAAGAATTGAGCAACTTTACAACAAACAGAAATAAATAATTTTTTACTCTTCCTGTGTAATATCCAATCAGTTGATTTAGAGAGGTCGAATATACCGACTTTCGTTAATTTATAAGTTTCAACTTTTACAATATTTAATTCGTGATTTTGCCAATGCTTATTCAAGATCATTTTTTTGTCAATTTTACACACGTTTAATTTATTATCTCAAGAAATGTTAAAGACAGGTATAGGTTAGTATAATAGTTCCGTTTAAAATAAGCAAGATGCTAGCACTTAAATTATGCAGAATATTGTAAAGCTCAAAATATTTTAGATAGATGGAGCAGGTATCTTTATCTAAAAATTAAAACTTAAAAAAACTCTATACCGGTTCTCCATGAACTTCTAACGTGCCATCACCGGAAATATATATATATATATATATATATATATATATATATATATATATATATATATATATATATATATATATATATATATATATATATATACATATATATATATATATATATATAACATATATATATATATGCAGGTTAGAATTGAAGCTCTAACAAAGGTCAGCAACATTCTGCAAGAAGCCAAATTTATTAAACCTAACATCAGTGACCTGCCGCAAGCTTTAGCCACCAGATTAACGGACAGCAATGTTAAGATAGCCCAAACTGCTCTTAATATCTGTCAAAGTATAGCTAAGGCTATGGGACCTCCTTCTAAACAACATATTAGGACCTGGTTTCCAGGATTTCTTCAAAGTGAGTCTAATATTGTAAGAGTTTTTTTTTTCTAAAATTATATTTTCAGATTTGGGTGATAGTAAAGCTTGGATGCGAACGACTGCTCTGGAAACTATCGCCACTTTTTCTGAACAATGCGGTTATAAGGAGTTTTTTGATGGTGAAATGATAGGAGACGCTTTGAAGTCGGGATCGCCAACACTGAGATCGGAGTTGTGGAATTGGTTATCTGAAGTTTTACCTAAAAGTAAGTAAAATTGAGTACTGTTTGCACTTCGTTATGAATATGTTACATACTGTAGTTCTTTTTTGTAAAGTTCCAGTTAAGTCAGTTCCCAAAGAAGAGCTGTTGATTTGTATTCCCTATTTGTTCAGCAACTTAGAAGATCGCAACGCTGATGTCAGAAAGAACGCTGGCGAAGCTATATTAGGTTTAATGATTCATACTGGTGAGTTATCTTAATATACAGGGTGTAACAGAGTTAAATAATTTTACATATTAGACATAAATCAGAGCATCACTTATAAAAAAAATCAAGTCGACCATATTAAGTTCTCTCGGGGTGCATCCAAAGTGGTTTGAATTCTCCTTTCTTGTTCTTTTTATTCAGTGTAATCATTGCAAGTAATTATAATTTTCTAGGTTATGACTCAATGGCTAAACAAACTGAAAAATTAAAACCAGGCTCTAAAACTGTGGTAATAGCGGCTTTGGAAAAAGCCAGACCTAATCTACCTGTCAAGCCTCTACCAAAAAAAGTGGCGCCTTTAGAAGAGAAGACAGTCAAAGGCACCAGACCGGTATCTACCAAACAAAATGCCGCCAAATCTAAAGTAAATAATATAAAGTTTTATAGTAGTCAATATGTTAGTGTTTTTTAAATTGTTTTAGGCGTCTATCGCTCCAACAAAGCCGCAATCTACAAGTAACAGAAAAAAGGAGGAGGACTTAGATACTTCTCCCCTCTTTGTAGTTAATAATCTCAAGCACCAAAGAACGATTGACGAATCCAAATTAAAGGTTTTAAAGTGGAATTTTACTCAACCTAGAGAGGAATTTGTTGATTTGTTAAGAGACCAAATGGCCGCAGCTAATGTCAATAAAACTCTGGCCGCTAACATGTTCCACACAGATTTTCGGTAAGAGTTTTATACATTAATATACATAGAGGTCATTGAAAGATTACCAGAAGAGAAATGTTAGATTTTCGTATTTTTTTATATGACCTGACACCTTTTTTATACTGAGAAAATTTAAATATTGTAGACATTTAATTTAAATTTGACATTTTGCGCGGTCAAACAGCAACTGGCAGTGACAGTTGGCATAATATAAATGTGCGCGTTCAGAGACGGTCAGCGGCTAAGTGGCTGGGTACATATTCTTTACCACTTGCATCTTCAAATATCACTCACCACTCATCATCATAGCCAAATAACAATACATGTAAATGCGTATACGCAAAGTGCGTACTATGTCAAGAATAAGTACCCTGGTAAGCGATTTCCCTAAACGGTCTATTTTTACGCACAAAAACGGTTAGCCGCTGAGCAAAATTCTGAGCGGTCGGTCAGCCGCTGTGTTCCCTGAACGCGCACACTCTCATATATGACATTACAAGTACAAGACGTGACGTTATGTGAGTTTTTGGCACGTAGCTGTTATTGTGCCTTTCAGATTAAGCACGTCCAATTTATATACCGGGTGCGTCTCAAAAGTAGCTCACCCCTATAATTTTTTTATTTTTTCAGATAACAAAACGAGATTTGGTATGTTAGTATATGACATAACTTAGGATTGATTTACATATTTAATAGTTTCTGGTTACTTCCTGTTTTACCGGAAATTTCTACACTTTTGATTTTTAAATGGCACCCTCTGTATTTTTTTACTTTATTTGATAGAAAATGACACTCTAATTGAGGTTATTTGAAATTATAAAAAATCGTATTTTAAATTTCAATCTAGAGTGCCATGGCTGTATTAAAAGCACTAATTTTTAATCAAGGAGCTTTGGAAAAATATATTTGATTGTCTAATGTTTTTCGTGTCTTGTCCTGGCCGGTTAATAGATGCCCAAATCGTATTTTTAATCAATTTCTCAATTTTTCCAAATGGAACGAGGGTGGCTCATTAGCATATTTGGGAAAATATTTTTTTTACAGATAATTTGGTACCGCACACTTGGTATGTTGAGTCAAATTGTCATTACATTTATGGCCATGGCACTCCAATTAAAATTTAACATGCATTTTTTTTAATTGAAAATGTCAAAAGTTGACATGTGCTATGTCATTCTATTCAGAATATCATGTTCTACCAAATGAAGTAAAAAAAAACACCAACGCAACATTTAAAAATCAAAAGTTGTAGCAAAGAATATCTTAATACCCTAGAAATCTCGTCTCGCATCAAAATCTGATCTGTCGATGGGGCCTCGCTTTGGCGAGCGAGGCCCCAACTTCGTGGGGCCTTGCTATTTTGCTCGGATTTGAACGAATAGACGCGCGGCGTTGCCTTGTTTTGTGTGTACTTTCTTGAATAGTTTTAAATTATAGTTTTAAATTTTATCTATTTCTATAATCAGTCTTTCCGTTCTCCGCACTCCGCAGTTTATATAATATTATCTTATACCGTATGATCGAGAAAAAACGGCGTCAGCGATGGCTATGGATTGAAGATCGCTGTCATTTTATATGTAAATTTATATGGGAAATGTTATTGATGTTCATTTCCCAGCCAACTGGACGCCGTTTTTTTTCGATCATACGGTATAATTCCCGTGTTACAGTTTTGGTTACCGTACTCCTCCGAAACGGCTTAACCGATTTTGATGAAATTGTATATGTATATTCAGTAGGTCTGAGAATAGGTAGTTATATATTTTTTATACCCTTAAGTGATAAGGGTAGTCCACCCCCATTTTTTTATTTTGTGAAAAAAAAATATTTTTATTTTTTTTTATTTGGCATTAAAAAATACAAACAACACTAAATTTTCACCGTTCTACCTTCATCCCCTATTTTTTAATAGGGGTTGTTTTTTTAATTTTTTGTTACCATCTCCGAAACGGCTTGACCGATTTTGATAAAATTTTATATGTATATTCAGTACGTCTAAGAATAGGTTGTTATCTATTTTTTATACCCTTAAGTGGTAAGGGTAGCCGAGAGGGTAGCCCACCCTCATTTTTTATTTTTTGAAAAGAAAAAAATGTTGTTATTTTTTTAGTTGGCATTAAAAAATACAAATAACCCTAAATTTTCACCGTTCCACCATCATCCCCTATTTTTTAGTAAGGGTTGTCTTTTTTTAATTTTTTGTTACCATCTCCGAAACGGCTAGTCCGATTTTGATAAAATTTTATATGTATATTCAGTAGGTCTGGTTTGGTTTGGTTTGGTCACAACCTATTCCCAGATTGTTATCTATTTTTTACACCCCTAAGTGATAAGAGTGGTCCACCCCAACTTTTTTTTTATTTTTTAGACCTTATTTTTTAGGGGGTGCATGTCCAAAATTTTCTTCTGGGTACTCACTTTCATCACTTAAGGGACCTCTGTACAAAATTGCATACTCCTAGTCCTAGAACGGATTTTACATAAAAATTATACAAATTTTTACCCTTAGTTTTATCCCCTTAAGGAATGAATTCCAAAAATCGCTCTAATTATTCAATTACGCTACATAATAAACCTCTGTGCAAATTTTCATATTCCTTGGACAGAATTTATTGTTCCAGAACGTTCAACCCCTCATTTCACACCCTTAGAGGGCGAATTTCCAGAAATCGCTTCTTAGTGCTAAATTACGTTACATAAGGAACGTCTGCAAAATTCATACTTCTAAAACCGATTTTAACAAATTTTTGTACAAATTTTCATCCCTTATTTTTTAGGGGATGCATGCTTCGAATTCGCTTCTAGGTACTCACTTTCATCATTTAAGGGACCTCTGAACAGAATTTCATACTTCTAGTCCTAGAACGTATTTTACATAAAAAATTATACAAATTTTCACCCCTAGTTTTACCCCCTTAAGGAATGAATTCCAAAAATCACTCTAATTATTCAATTACGCTACATAAGGAACCTCTGTGCAAATTTTCATATTCCTTTAACAGAATTGTTTCAGAACGTTCACCCCTCATTTCACACCCTTAGAGGGCGAATTTCCAATAAGTGCTACTTAGTGCTAAATTACGTTACATAAGGAACGTCTGTGCAGAATTTCATACTTCTAAAACCGATTGTAAGAAACTTTTGTACAAATTTTCATGCCTTATTTCTAGGGGATGAATGTCAAAAATTAGCTTCTAGGTACTCACTTTCGTCACTTAAGGAAACTCTGTACAAAATTTCATACTCCTAGAACTAACATTTTTTGTACAAAATTTCACCCCCCAGTTTCACTACCCTTAGGCTATACATTTCCAAAAATCGCTTATCAATGTTCAAATGCGCCACATCTGTGCAAAAGTTCATGCTCCTAGTAGGTACAGATTTTTTTGTATAATTACACCCCTTTATCTAATTACACCCCTTATGGGTCGAATTTAAAAAAATTACTTAGTAGGCTCATCTTAGAGAACGAATTAATATTCTCCGTATTTACTCCAGTTTCCTAATACTAGCACAGATAACACATAATCATACTAGTTAATTTTTTATTAGAATAGAAGCAATTTTTATTAAAAGGTACAAAAAAATTAAAAATCTAAAATTTTATTTTCATAGCTACGTTTTTTTTTCATAGCCTTAGGATGCCTTATGTACAATACATATTTCTTTAAATATCGAGAAATAAAATATGTTTTGGCAACACCGTACGAAATATCGCCGCGCGTAGTCCTCAAAATTTAAAATATTAGCATTTTCAGGCTTCGATTATGTTCAAAAGCGCCACCGTGTGACAAATCACTAAAGCTTCCACACGAGAGTTCTTAAAACTATAATATTCTTTGGTTGTAGTCATTTCCGTTGAAGCAGGAAGTGACCGAAAATAATTGAATACGTCAATCAATTCTAATTTATGTCATATAGTAACATACCAAATCTCGTTTTTTTATCTGAAAAAATAAAAAAGTAGGGGTGAGCCAATTTTGAGATGCACCCCGTATAGGGGTGGTACCCCTATATGTATATAATAATAATAATAATGGCTTTATTTAATAAATAAATGGGCGAAGTCTGGCTAAAAAAGCCACTCACACAACCCAAAAATTACAGTAATGCTTACACTAATATTATAATCTAACACTAATATTATAATCTAATGATCTATACGAAAAGATAATGATTAATAAAGTAATAAATAAATACTTTAATAATAAATTAGAAGAAAAAAAAATAAGTTACACAATAACAGTACATATTAAATTACCTAACCATTTTGAATATCTAATAAATGATTTTAAATGTATTTTAAATTTTTTAGAGTGTATGAATATATATAATTTTAAATCTTTGGTCAAGGCGTTAAACAGGTTGACAGCATTATAGGCGAAACACTTACGAAACATGGCATTACAACCTAATCTATGTAGAGGCATAGTAAGAAAAATGTTGTCTCTTAAATCCAACTTACGTATGTTTTGTCTAAAAATTAATTTTTGTCTTAAATATGGAGGCAAGTTTCTATAACACGTTTGAGCGACGATAAAAATATATATTTGAAAGTGTTTTCTACCCTTAACCACTTAAGATTTTGAATAGCTGGTGATGTTATGGCATGATTATATTTACGTTATACACAAATCTACAGCAGGTATTTTGAATTTTTTGAAATCGCCTGGCAGCGATACTGTCCAGACCCGGATAATAGACAGAAATGCAATATAATAATCGGGAGAGAACTTGCTCTTAACAGAGTCTCACTCTCATTTCGTGGGATAATAGTTGTCTATTAGATATGATATAACATACATTACTAAGTAAAATTTACGTCTTTCAACGTTTTAAAATAAAGGATGTTCTTATAGAGAGAGACATCCTAATCTACTTTTAATAGTATAGTTGGAAAAGGACAAAAACACTCTAGGTTATTACGTCACGTCGAAACAGATAGTTGTATTCAATACGTGAACGCAGCTCTGCTATAGTTATTGTCACGCCGTTACCTTTTCTTGTTTCAATATTATGTCTTGGCTTAAATGAAAAGTCCCTAGACAGTGGATATAAATGTTTTGTGATAGACGCTGCGTCCGTATTAAAAATGGGTACGTTCAGGGATGGTCAGCAGCTGAGAAAGCGACTTTCCTGAACGGTCTTTTCTGACACACAGGAACGGCCAGCCGCTGAGCAAAATTCTCAGCGGGAAATATTTAAGCTACACAAAGTCAGCAGTATTATATCCACTTTTTTATGTTTATATCCTTATCTGTAGTTAACTGTATGTATAATAATTTATTATTTTCTCATTAGAAATATAATCAGCCATTGTAATACGTTTTTAAATAATATTCCGTCGAGGTAGGCCTCTGAGGTCGCGCCTCACCTTTAAAAAGGGAGAACGATTTATTTTTTGTATCTAGCTTTTTATTTGATCCCAGTATAACTTATAACAATTCTACAACACTTTCAAAATAATAAAACTAAAAATTATATATTATATGTATAAATACATCCAGGTCAAGGCGCGACAGAACAATATTGTTATTCTTTCTGTACTTGAAGTTCCTTTTCTAAGACGAAATGAAACTAAAAAAAAGGCAAATCAAAACTTTCCGCATTATTTAACGATAACAGGCAAGGTAGGCAATAGGTATTTAAGAACTTTTCAAATATCTTGGTTTTAATCGTAATAGGTTTCTTACCATTTAAAAAAAAAGATAACGCGTCTCAGAATAATACTTCATAGGTGAGAAAATTTATTCGTATTTAAACAAAATTATTTACCTCATGTAGCCTCACCTTCCTATATACTCAGGGTGCAGCCACACTATCCTAAAAACGGCGTATCGGCGTAACGGCGTAATGACCTTGAATAGATTTCCAGTAATTCTATTGGCTGAAACATTCATCTGTCAGAAATTTTATCTGTCAAATTCATCTGTCAAAAATTTCAGCCAATAGAATTACTAGAAATCGATTCAAGGTCGTTACGCCGTTACGCCGATACGCCGTTTTTAGGATAGTGTGGCTGCACCCTCACGAGCCGCCACTGGGAATACCGCAAGATGTCATAAGGGTGCATCCACACTATCCTAAAAACGGCGTATCGGCGTAACGGCGTAATGACCTTGAATCATAGACTTAAAATAAAATATAGACTACACTATTTACATCTCAACGCGGACAAACAACCTTTTTTGTACACATGTTTACTTCTGGGTACAGTCGACCGAGCCTTCCTCATCCAGCCTATGTTGTCACGTCTTTAATATTATCAATATTTTTTTCTTGTTATACACATATATTGAGATATTAATACTACAGTTTAATAAAGTAGATTTTAATATTCCATAGATGTATTAAATAGTCCTTATACTACTAAATTATAAGTCGGATACTGTTTAAAAAGGATAAGTTCTTTACAATATGACAACACCGATTAGAGGCGAGGGAGCCTATTCATTCATTTATTACCTTGTAGTACGTGTCGCACGTGTGCGGTAAAGCTTTGTTGCCGCTATCTCCCCGGCTGTATTAACGCATTTTCTTAGCTTGTAGTCCTTAAGTGTTTATTTTATTGACTTTTTCTGTTTGACGCCAGTGCCAAATTTGCAAGAAATTTGACTTAGATAATCCATTTAAGTCTTGAAACGACTTTTGACCGGTAGGCAACTCTCAATTTACCAATTGGGAGTCAGTGGCGTTGTTGTAGGAAGGCGCTTATTTACTAATCATAATATTTTAGTAAAATGTAAAATCTGAATTTTTTCTCTTACATTACATTATTTACTTACTTACATTGTAACAAAATCATAATTATAACCCTGTTAATAATTAATAATGTTTTTATTAAAAATATATTCCGGTTTATTCTAAAATTATCTTCGGAATCTAAAATAACATACAAGAATTTTAAAATGATATTACATTATGAAACAATATTTTTTAATATACCGGGTCGTCTCAAAAAGTGGCTCAACCCTATAACTTTTTTATTTTTCAGATAAAAAACAGATTTGTATGTTAGTAGGTATATGACATAAATTAGGATTTATTGACGTATTCAATTGTTTTTGGTCTCTTCCTGTTTCACCGATTACATCTTTTGATTTTTAAAGGCACCCTCGGTATATTGCTACTTTATTCGATAAAAAATGACACTCTGAATAGAATGACATATCATATGTCAACTTTTGACATTGTCGCTTAAAAACATATCCTATTTTAAATTTCAATCCAGTTTTTTTCAATCCACTAAGTTTTAATCAAGGAGCCTTGGAAAAATAGTTTTGATCGTCTAATAAGTTTCGTGTCTTGTCTAGGCCGGTTAAAAGATGTACATATCGTATTTTTAATCATACATATGTCAATTTTTCAAATGGAACAAGGGTGACTCATTAGCATATTTGGAAAAAGCATTTTTTATGAATATATTGATACCACACACTTGGTATTTCGAGTCAAATTGTCGTTATGAACCGCGTGTTACAATTACAATTAAACCATATGCGAAAATGTCAAAAGTTGACATATGGTATGTCATTCTATTCAGAGTGTCATTTTCTATCGAATAAAGTAGAAATATACCGAGGGTGCCGTTTAAAAATTAAAAGTTATAGTCATTTCCGGTGAAACGGGAAGTGACCAAAAACAATTGAATGCGTCAATCAATCCTAATTTATTTCATATACTAACATACTAAATCTTGTTTTTTTATTTGAAAATATAAAAAAATTATGGGGATGAGCCACTTTTGAGACGCACCCGGTATAATAAAGACAGTATCGAGTTAAATAAATGTATTTTTTATTTTATCCACTTCCTATCACCTTCCTTGCTTTAATGGAACAGATATTATGTTTTCTCTAATTTACATAATAAGACATCACTTAACCAGAAAAAAAATTACAACAGTCATATTTTTTTTTCTCTCCCTGTCGCCGATTCTATTATATCTGTGGAATAGATCCTGTTTTGATTAATATTAGGGGTTGTAAATGTTTGACTAAAATTAATAATTTATTATTAATTTCAAAAATTACCTAATTTCGATTATAAAATTTCTTCTATAACGTGTATTTTATTTGGACTCTAAATTGTTTTTTCTAAACTTTTATTTAAAAAACCTGTCCTAAATCTTAATAAAATATAAAAAAGTTTAAATACGAAATAATTTTAATTTAATTATAGCTTCATTAAAATAAAAAAATTACCCGGCTATGATACGGAGAGTTCAGGTGTCCTTGAGAAACGAAAGACAGTGTTGTGTTTCTCGGCAGAGTCGTCAGGGAACGACCGTTACGACAGAGACAACCTATCTATCGCTCGTGTCGCACTCGTTATAACCTAAAACAATAACACAACAATAACAAGACAGTGTCTGACCGCATGTTCCAGCTATTTATGAATGAGATGCTCAGTCTATATTTTATTTTAAGTCTATGCCTTGAATAGATTTCCACTAATTCTATTGGCTGAAAAATTTATCTGTCAGAAATTTTATCTGTCAAATTCATCTGTCAAAAATTTCAGCCAATAGAATTACTGGCAATCGATTCAAGGTCGTTACGCCGTTACGCCGATACGCCGTTTTTAGGATAGTGTGGATGCACCCTAAAAGAGAGTCAGCGTAAATATTCGCCGGAAGTTAGTTGCTGTGTTCCCTGAACACGGCCAATATTTTGTTCTTTAAGATTTATTTTATTATTTATTTATATCCTTATTTAACTATCCTGTTATACCACTCCCACTACGTTTTAGTAAATACATTTTAGTAGCATTTAAAAAATATAAATGTAAATTATTGAAATTGTATTTTTTTATTAATTAATTTGGATTTCAGCTTTTTTACTCACACTAACTTATTTTTAAATTGTTATTTAATTTGACACAAGGCTTAATTATTTTTTAACTTTTTTTTACAGATTTCATATAAAAGCCATCGAATCGCTCATGGAAGATTTACCCGAACACAGCGAAGCGCTTATATCAAACTTGGATCTTATCCTAAAATGGCTGACCTTGAGATTCTTCGATACTAATCCATCTGTCCTCCTTAAAGGTTTGGAGTATCTTCATTTGGTCTTCAACATGCTGATAGAGAAACAGTATCGCATGCTGGAGAACGAGGGGTCTTGTTTTATACCGTATTTAGTTTTAAAGGTCAGTTGGTATAGATATTTATTTCAATATATTTTTTTTATTATTATTTCTTATTAGCAAATTGCAGCTAGTCATTTAAAAATCAATCAATCAATACGATCAAATACTATTTTTAAATACAGTATGCCCCCGGATTGTCTTTACAAGAGGAAAACCTTTTTTATTTTACACTTTTTTAAACTTTTTTTATACTTGATAACGGTCGCCTTCTGACCGAAACGTTGTGTTAATGAAAATAAATAAAGACAATAATATATACAGGGTGGTCCGAACTGTATTCCGGAAACTTCGGTAGCATATTCTCCAGATAAAAATATGTAAAAAAGTTCGTATAAATGGTTGTCCTAAAATGCTTAGTTTCGGAGATACAGAGTGTAGAAGTTTCATTTTTATTTCGATTTTTTCCAAATAATTTCTGAAGTAACCTCAATATTTGGATGAAAATTGGTGTCTGAAAGTTTTTTGACGTGAGAAATTTGATTTTGATATCAATATGATATGTCCTACTAGTAGAGGGCGCCACCTACATATAGTAATAACTTTTCGTCCATACCTGTATAAAACTAATGAGTAAGAAAATATACATTTACGACGTTTTTTACGTGAAAAAGGTCCCTTGATAAAAAATCGCTACGAATAATGGTTATAATTTTAATAATGGTTAATAATGGTAACACAAACTGTTTTTTGCAGAAATTTATGGTTAATTTAAAAAAAAAAGTTCCCAAATTTATTATTTCAGTGAAATAACTATCTACTCAACGTGTTTATTTTTACGTCAATAATGACATGTATTGACTATTTCCATTCTAAATATCTTAAGAACGGTTGCTCGTAGCGATTTTTACAAAGAGATATTTTTACGTAAAAAGTCACAGAGATGCATATTTTTTTACTCGGTAGTTTTATACAGGTATGGACAAAAAGTTATTACGCTTCAAAACAGTTAAGAGACATATAGGTGGTGCCCTCTACTAGTAGGAGTCATATTGACATCAAAATCAAATTTGTCATGTTAAGAAACTTCCAGACGCCAATTTTCATCCAAATATTGACTTTACTTCAGAAATTATTTGGAAAAAATCGAAGTAAAAATGAAACTTCTACACCCTGTATCTCTCAAACTAAGCAATTCAGGACATACATTTATACGAACTTTTTTACTTATTTTTATCTGCAGAATATGCTGCCGAAGTTTCCGGAATACAGTTCGGATCACCCTGTATAATAATAAAAAAGTTTTTCCTCTTGTAAAGACAATCCGGGGACATACTAGTAGTACATACTACTAGTTACTAGTAGTAAAGCAATCACTTATCATGATACAAAGAAAAGAAGGTATGATATTACGCAGGTTGGTCGCTACGTCACAGGTCATATCGGCACCATTGGTCGGCCCGCTCCACGAGCCAATCTCAAATCATCAAATTGATGACACAAAAAAAAAGTAAATATTTCATTTAACGTCTCCTTTTTGCTGCCAGCGCTAATCTGGACGGGGCCTACTTTGTTTACGCGGAATCCGAACCGCGGTCCTCGGCCATATCATGGTCAATGGCCTATCGACTTGGCAAGTGTCTAAATCAACTCTTACTCACGAGATATCCGATCTCATCCGGCCCCGAACCGGCGTGATGTGAGTGATGAGCAGTGTGTGTCAATAGATTTTACACTTTTGCTTCTGTTGTTAAGTGATTATATTAACCTATTTATTTTTATTAGAAATATATTTTTTTAACAACTATTGACTCAATGTAAACGGGTTATCGAGAAATTAATGGTGGGCCGTAATACTGACTTACTAATTTTGACATTTATTTTGAGTTATCTAATAGTTCAAAAAATTCTACAAAAGTAACCATTTCCTCTATCAAAGGGCAATATATTACTCGATACCGAAAATAGTTCAACACTGGCTGTAGATTTGTAGAAAGTCTACAAATTTTCTTTTGTATCATTTCTTTTGTATCAGTCGTACCAAAGTTTATGACAACGAATGGTTGTCTTCCTGGTGCACTCAGTGATGAGGTGTTCTGGTATCTCCTCATTTTCTCCACAGAATCTGTATTCGCTGTTGTTTCTTAGTTTCTTTCTAGCAAGGTAAACTTTGGTTGGCCAATAAACCTCAAAAAAGTATAATATACTTTTCTTTGTAATATTTAAAAATATATTAAAAATACTATGCTAGGAGAGGAAGCATATGACACCAGTATAGCGATTCTTGTCAATAGCGCTCTGGCAGTATAATAGTCATGGCCGGAACAGCGATTTTTTAATAACAGGTACGAGCTGTTCCAGTAGCAAAGGATACCTGTTCCAAGAAACCTGTTCCAGTTCCAAACTGTTCCAAAACGAAAAGATCCGTACTTGCGTCATTCTGATTCGGTTGCTATTTTTCTTTTTAAATTTATATAAATGAATATTTTTGCTTAAATAATTAGAACTTCTGGAGATTTTTCTGTTTTCTCTAAATTTAATCTGTCTATGTTGCTATATTACCAAGATATAATATTTTTTAACTAAAAATTAAAAAAACTATCAAATTTTCGAAAAATATAAACTTTTCAAAAACATGTTTTCCCGAAAAAAAACTCATGAGAATCGAAATATACCACCCCTAAAAATATGTGCACTTATTTAAGACCCACCCTGTATAAGCACTAATGAATAGATATAGATTTATAATTTTGTTATATACTTAAAAAGTAAATTCTTGGAAGAGTTTATTTTTTTTTAATATCTACTATATTTTATAATACAAAACAATAACCAACCGTTCTTACGCTGTATTTAAAAAAAAAACTATAATGCGATAATTATATTGCATTTGGCAACAGCGCCAGCATTTTTTTATAATAAAAAATGTTCCTTGCCTATTCTGTTTCTGTTTACATTAAAAAAACAATATATTTAAATTATTATAAATTTAAAATTTATAATAAGAATTTAGTTGAATTTTAAGTAAATATTTTAAATACAGGCTACGGCTACACTTGTTAATACCTGAACGGTAGCGTCCGCTAGACTTTGGCTAGACTAGCGAAACCGATATACTACCTCGATTATCAACCGAAACCAATTCGTCCAGTTCTTTTTACTTAACTGTTTCAAACAGTTCCAAGTTCCTAACTGTTCCAAGCCCTAAACTGTTCCAAGTCCCAAACTATCCCACTATTCAGGTTGCGACTTGAAACAGTTTAGGGCTTGGAACAGTTAAGGACTTGGAACTGTTTGGGACTTGGAACAGTTTGGGACTAGGAACAGTTAAGTAAAAAGAACTAGTTTCAGTTGAGAAACGAGGTAGTATATCACTTTAGCGACGCGGTCGCTTGGCGTTATATGTTATATTATCCAGATTGAGTGCGAGTGCACTAGCGTTGCCGAAATTTGATATATTTAATTAAAATTCAACTAAATTTTTATTATAAATTTTAAATAGGAAATCAATATTTAAAAATACAGAAAGAAAAGAATATCTAATATTTACTATTTTATATATGTAAAATAGAAAAATACATATATAAAATAAAAATAACTTAAATTCCTAGATATTAAACTTAAAGTCCTAGATAGTACAAAAATCAAAATCTATTCTTGTAATAATAAAATTTCAACAGACCTATAAATATGTATACCCTAAATTAAACAACTAAACAAATAATAACAGAGATAGACTAAAATATCTTGGTTTGCTCAAAGAGTACTGACAAGCAAAATAGTATTATAACGTTTAATTACAGATTAACACGAAGAATCGTGGAAGGAATTGTTAACGTTTATAAATATCAATTGATTTAATTTGTTTGCACTAAGTCTTCTTCGGCAATCGGTTAAAACAATTCCCGCTTAATTATGATCATTTTTGTGTACTGCACCAATTTAAGTAACTCTAGATAATAATTCGGTAGCACGAATTAGCCAAAACAAAAAAAAATTAAAGTGAATTCCTTATACCTATTTCGAAAATTATCATACCTATAATAAAGGTCGTCGCCTTTATCATAACAAGCGGTTCCTTTGTCGGTATGTATACATTTTTACGCAGTTTTTTTTAATGTAAACAGAATAGGTGAAGAGAATTTCTTACCATCAAAAAAACGTACTGGCGATGTTGCCAAACGCAATATAATATATAATTATCTCATTTTGAAAAATACACTATTAAGAATCTAGTATCACAAATATACAGCAGGAACAGTTGGAACTGGAACTGGTATAGGATAGCTCATAAACCTGTTCCAAGCCAGTTCCAAAACAAACCTGTTTCGAAAATAACAGATCCTGTTCCAAATCGTCATCACTACAGTATAAGAGGATTACAACATTTTTGAGCTTTTTGAGAAATAATAATCGCATTGTTTATAACAACAATTTCCGCTGGGCAAATTGTGATTTATTTTTGTTGCTTTAGATCGGAGATCCGAAGGATTCGGTACGGAATGGTGTCAGGGCTCTCCTAAAACAAATCAGCGGCGTGTTTCCGGTCAGTCGACTTTCGGTCTACGTCATGGAAGGGGTCAAATCGAAAAACGCCAGGCAAAGGGCGGAGTGCTTGGAGGTCATGGGCTCGATGATCGAAGACTACAGTATCACAGTTTGCCAACCCACTCCAGCTGCCTGTCTTAAAGAGGTTGCCAAGCAGATATCAGACAGAGACAACGCTGTTAGAAATGCGGCTTTGAATTGTGTGGTTCAAGCCTACAATTTGGTTGGAGATAAAGTGTATAAAATGGTCGGAAATGTGAGTATAGACTAAAAAGAAGATCGTTATGGCGTGACTTATTTATGATCCGATTATTTGGACAGATTTCAGATAAAGATATGTCCCTTCTGGAGGAAAGGATAAAGAGGGCCAGTAGACGATCTGTGATACCCAAAGCCGCGCTTAGTGCGACTGTAACCGAAATTCAGCCCAGTAAAAATATAATTCCTGTTATTGATACAGTAATCGATAAAACGGAAGATGATCAAGACCTGGACGAAGATGAAGGCCTACCAGTCATTACGTAATTAAAAAAAAAAAGACATTGTAATATGACAATGAATTTGTTTCTATTTTGCAGACTTCCACCTACAGTAGCTCAGGAACCAGCCAAGAAAGAAGTTCAAGGACCTTTTAAATTGGAATCCGAATTTATGAACGACTTGGACAAAATAACGCCCCATTTCGAAAAGCTGCCCATCATGAACATCGATACCGAATTTTTGAAAGAAGAAGTCAAAATGCCCTCGTTTTACGACAACAAAGCCAAGTGATTTTTTTTTGTAAAATATACCTTTAATAGAATTTTTATTTTCTTTTCTTTTAGGATTATGCCTTTATCGCCGCCAAAGCCGGTTATTGCTAATAAATATGGCGTTCATCATGGACTTAAGACTACCGATCCGGAGATTATGAAAATTATCAGCCTAATAGGAACAAAAAATTTGGCCATCAGTTTGCAAGTAAGATATGCCAATTGTTGAAATTTGTGTTGCACAGCTGTATAAATATCTTAGACATTTAGCGTTAAAAACTTAAAAAGAGATCTTCAATCTTTATAATGTAAACATTCAATCTTTGTACAGAAAGAAGTCTTTATACTGGTACATCTTTAGTTAGCACCTAGGCTAGTAAATATTTTTTTTTATACAAATACCCAATATTTGTTAGCTAAATTTTTTTATGGATGATGGTTTATTATTGACATGTAATAATTCTTGAACGTCGATGTGTTACGGCCTTTAGAATAATAAAATAAAATTGATATCAATAGGGATTGACGCAGTTTTGCGAACTTATGAACAATCCAAACCGAATTCAGTCTTTCACGCTTTACGAAGAGGAATTTGTTAACGCCATCATATCTTTGTTGAAGTACCTGAGCCTTTTAGATCCAGCAAGTGAACCCTCTGTTGCCAGGATCTACAGAGACTTATTTAGGAGCATGGATTCAGTAAATAAAATTACCACAGACTAGTACTTTATAGGATAATGTTATTATTAATATTTTAGTTTTACCAGAAACCACATTTGGGTAAACAAGTATCAGTAGGTGCACTTAAGGAGCTAACCAAACAACTTGTTCTTTTGTTAGTTGATGGTAAATTAGAGAAATGTGGTGATATTTATGTAAAAGCAGTGAATGTTACTTGTGTGAAAGTCATAGAACAGTCGGATCATACAGCAGTGCTATGGTATGTTATTTCAGTTTTCCTCTATTTTTAATTAAGCAATTTTTCACTAGTACTTGAAAAGCAACAGTTCCAAAATAAATTACATTTTGAATATAATTTTTTAGTGCTTTAGTGAAGCTTATCACAGAATGTATCAGTGACGAGAACAGCCCAGAAAGACAAGTTGATTTAGTGATGAAATGCTTATGGAAGGTGATAAAATTAATGCCTAATTGGGGGGAGCATGTGGATTATGAGTCAGTACTTTTGGAAGTGCATCAGTTTTTGGTGAAGTTTCCATCGAAGTGGTGGACGCAAAGACCGGTAGACACTCCTTTGCGCACTATCAAAACTATTCTGCACTCCATTGTGAAAATTAAAGGTGCCAATTCTATGCAGTTGCTCAGTAAAATTTCAAACCCGGTTGAATCCGAAATTGAATCATATATTTTACGTCTCTTAAAGGTAATCATATTTATATTTAATATATTTTGAATTATATGGATTTGAATGCCCTATAAAAAATTACCCCTAGCATTGACATGCTATTTGCCCTTAGTTAACATATTAGATACATCAAAACACTACCTGAATTTTACTTGGGCATGAGACCTACACACTATTAAAACCCATTTAAAAATTTCCATTTCTTTTTAATCTTTGCGTGAGCACTACCAACGCAAACTTAATTTTGTTTTTTATTACTTTTGCCATATTTTATCGAAAAATTTTAAATATTGGCAAGAGAAACCAAGTGACTGAAATGATGGTGTTTTGTGTATTTTTTTAATTTTCTGCCTAAAAGAAAAACGAATAAAGCGTTGTATTTTCACCACGGTTATGTTCTTTTGATGATATTCAAATTTTTTCGTTGAAATGTGTCAAAAATTAGAAAAAAAATACTTGGTTTTAAAATAGTTTTTAATAATACATTTAGTTCTGGTAGGCTCTAAGTAACTCACTAAAATTTGGTGTGGGTCTCGTGCCCAGAACTAGAGATATAGTACATCGAAATTTTACCAGCTTATTTTACATTTTTTTATGAAAAATGTTGTAAATTATCTTTTATTATAATTGTACGGAATAAATATTTTTTAGAGCTTAAAAATAGCACAAGCTCAAGACGTCCCATTACAGTCCCAAAGAAAAGGCATCTCCAGAGCTAATCATAACATGTTAACCGATATATTTCAAAAAATCGGCAGCAAAGAAGATACGAAAGAAGGTTTGAATCTCTTGTACGACTTCATGCAGCAAAATCCTGAAGCCGACATAGAGCCTTTCCTGAGTAAATCGAGCAAATTCTTCCAGGACTATATAAAATCAGGCCTAAAGGATATAGAGACATCAAGGAAAATCGCAAAATTCTGTCCCAGTGGTAAGTCTTAAAATGGACGAAGCGGTTTGTGCCTAGTCGGTCACCAACTCGGCGAAGAGACGTTTCAAAACACACGGTTCGTCATTGCAACTGCGTAGCCGTAAAATCGCTTTCGGTGCATACTAGGGAAGGGTGGCAGATTCGGCACAAACCGCTCTGTCTGGTTTAAGCCTTAGGGCTAAAAAAGCGTCTCCTTAATGACACTTGTATAAATCAGACAGTTTTACGACTAATCGGCAGTGAGTTGTCAGGGTGCAGCCACAGTATCCTAAAAACGGCGTAACGGCATAATGACCTTGAATAGATTTCCAGTAATTCTATTGGCTGAAACATTCATCTGTCAGAAATTTTATCTGTCAAATTCATCTGTCAAAAATTTCAGCCAATAGAATTACTGGAAATCGATTCAAGGTCGTTACGCCGTAACGCCGATACGCCGTTTTTAGGATAGTGTGGCTGCACCCTCACATCAGTACCCAGTGGCGTAGCATGGTACAAAGAAAACAAGGTATGATCGATAGCGGCCCCGATTTCTTTAAGTTTGCGCATACCACCTGTGACGTCATACGCCATACAAAAAATATCCATATTGTTCAATTGCCACTAATAAAAAAAGACCTAAAATAGGGAAGAATTAGGACATAACCCCAAAAGTTGTGTCAAATCATCGAGCTTGACATTTGAAAAATTATTTTCACATTTTGACACAATCAAATTTCACAGATGACACAATCTGTTTGACAATTTGAAATTGGCGCGCAGAGCTTGCCGACCAATGGTGCCGTTTATCACCTGTGCCGTAGTGACCAACCTGCGCAAATCATACCTTGTATTCTTTGTATCATGGTGGCGTAGCTACACTCTCGCTAACAACCGCGGTCGCGGGTGTCCTATGAGCTAGAGGGCCCTCGCCGACCGGTTAAAAAGACTTTTTAACATACAAACGGCAAACTTTGACTTTAAAAGTATTTTGTAACTTGTAATACCAGGGTCCCAACGCCAAAACTGAAGGAACACAACTTGAATACAACATTTATAGTTACGCGACTGTCAATACCTGTTATATGGGACAAAAGAGACGTAGACGTTCTTAGGGAGTTTTTGTTCATCAGTGTTGCCAGAGAAATAGAGAATTTGGATAATTGGGCGAACGCATAAAAATCCGCAATGTAAAAACTATTTTTTTACGCGTAAAAAACATTTTATTAAAAGAAAAAAAATCGGTCGTTTTGAAGGAAGGGAAGCTACTCACATAAAAGTAATAGAGAAATGTATAAGAAATATTTGGATGCAGAAAACCATATTGTTGCGGGCCGGTGTGGACTCGACCTAACCTCACAATATGGCCCGCCCTCGGATGACCTTAACATCGCATAGACACCGCAATGATTCATTCGTTCGAGAAGAATCGAGTTCCACTGGAATGGACTAGTACATACGAGAACATTCGAAAACATTCTCTACGCACCTAACGATCTATGGACTATTCTAGAGTTCTTTACCTGTCGGTATAAAAGCCGGCGGCGGTGGCCTACAGGGGGCAGTTATAAATATACCAGTGCAGTTGACGCGCTAAAATTCAAAATAAATTCTTAGTTATAAATCGTTTGTAAATAGTTCTATAAGTCTTTTATCGTTATTGTTTTTGTTAATTAGTGTTAAATAAATAGTGTTTAAATAAATTGTGACTTTCTATCCACACGGAACCGACGAAAAACGTAACAATTGGTGTCAGGTGTGGGGTGTGTGATAGACAAGAAAAATAAAAAGACTGACCATGGCTCTGAAAAAATTGTTGAAAGACTTGAAAGTGTCCGAACTGAAATGTATATTGGAAGAGAGAGACTGCGAGACAGATGGAAAGAAAAGCATTTTGCAAGCTAGACTGAGAGACGTTTTGGTGGAGGAAGGTGAGGATCCTGACACATTTTGCTTTGAGTTGGAAGGTGACCTTGACTCTTGCCTACAAAAATTAGAAAATAAAATGACAGAGAATTCTCAAAAATTAGACGACAACTTGAACAATTTGAATAGTAAAATGATTAACTTGGAAGAGAATTTGAATGATAAAATGACAGAGAATTCTCAAAAATTAGACGACAACTTGAACAATTTGAATAGTAAAATAATTGACTTGGAAGTTAATTTAGAAGAGAAAATCAGTGATAAAATTAATATTTTGGAAGATAAGATCGCAGAAAATTCTAAAGACATACAGGCCAGCTTTAATAATAAAATACTTAATTTAGAAGAAAAGATAACAGAAAATTCCAGGGAATTAGAAGAAAAGATTATAGAGAATTCTACGGAGCTACAAGACAAAATAACACAAATTGAGGACGATGTAAATAAAAAAATCGAAATTTTAAAACAAGAAATAGAAAAGGCCAATTCACCAAAATGTCAAGAAACATCGGAGGCACCGAAACTAGTCGAAAATAAGTATATCTCAAAGCCAGTTATTAAGCCTCCACAGTTTGACGGAAAAACCGCTTGGGCCAATTATTTTTGCCAGTTTGAGGCCGCTGCGAGAGCGAACGGATGGACAATCGCTGAAAAGGCTACCGCTTTGACTGTCGCACTGCGAGGAGATGCGACTGATATTCTGCAGACATTGTCACCATCGGAACAGGGAGATTATCAGCAATTGGTACGACATTTAGAAATGAGGTACGGCCAAGCTCATTTGGAACATGTCTATCATTCCCAGCTAAAAATCGCATTCAAAAGTCAAATGAGTCTCTGCAGGAGTTTGAAGCCGACGTAGCCCGCCTCGTTCGCCTTGCGTACCCTGCTACGCCAGAGAATGTTATGGAGCGGTTGGCAGTACAGGCATTCTCCGACGGCTTACGTGATAACGAGACAAGACAAGCACTTCTCCTAGCCCACCCAACGCACTTGGTGGATGCTTTAGCACGTGCCCTAGAATTTGAGGCCGCGAAACAAAGTTCTCGGTCTCTAGTGAGAGTACGGGCGGTCAACCAATGTTCCGACGAATCCGTGGCAAGCATTGTACGGAAAGTCATGGAGGAGTACATGGGCAAGAAAGGACCGACTTGTTGCTGGAATTGCGGCCAGGCAGGACACGTAAGAAGTCACTGTAAAGAAAAAAGGACGTGGACCCGGTTTCGCCAAGTGTCGAATCAAAGGGACACATATCGAGCAGTACCCAACAGGTTCCAACGAAAACTGCTCAAGTCGCATCGCTACAACACAAGTTCAACAGCATTTTTGTGGATGGTTTCGTGGATGGAGAGTTACGGACCATGCTTTTGGATACGGGTGCGACCAAAACGATCATCAGGCGGATATCCTTAAAACATCAAAAAGGATTAAAACAACACAATGGCGACTACGTACAGCTACAGGAAGCTCCGCTCTCATCCATGGAGAGGTAGATCTTAATTTTGTTATCGGAAGCACCTGTTTTAATCATCGAGTGTTAGTAGCAGACATCGAAGATGAACTTATTCTCGGAATGGACATCATGACCACTAGAGGTTTTGAGCTAAACCTCAAACAAGGAATTTTGAAAATAAATGAAGAAGAAGTGGTTCTGCATCGAAAATGTGAGGAGACGCTTCGCGTGGTGGTAGCAGAAGATGTTTCGATCCCTGAGCGCTGTGAGATATTTTTGGATGGTTGCCTAGAAGGTAAAATGAATAATGGGAGTATTATTCTGTTGGAGCCAAGGAACCATGACAGCGAAATAGGACGAGGGATCGCTGTTGGAAAAGCCCTGCTACGAGCGAAGAAAACTGTACCGGTGAGAGTAATGAACACGAATTATTATTCTGTATCCTTGAAGAAGGGAACCCTCTTAGGGTACTGTTGTTCGGTCTCCTCAGTCGTTCGAAGCGTGGAAGCCTCCAAAGTTTCGACTTCAAAAATTCCGGACAAAATGGTGAAGGAGTTAGTAAACGTTAAAGGATTATCTCCCGAAAATAGAAGAAAATTGAGAAACCTGATAATCAAGTATCAAGATGTGTTTGATAAAGGAGAAGCAGGACAGAGAGGTCGTACCAATTTAGTACAACACAAAATTGATACCGGAGATGCACGACCAATCAAACAAAATCCGAGAAGACTTCCGCTCGCCAAACGTGAAGAAGCTGATAAAATCCTTCGAGAAATGAAAGAAGAGGGTGTCATCGAACCATCTAACAGCCCGTGGACATCGCCGGTAGTACTAGTAAAGAAGAAAGACGGTACCACCAGGTTCTGTGTTGATTATCGGCAGCTCAATAATGTTACCAAGAAGGATAGTTATCCCCTGCCGAGGATAGACGATACTCTAGACACGCTGGCGGGGTCAACGATATTCTCTACGTTAGATCTGAAGAGTGGATATTGGCAAGTCGACATGGCGCCGAAAGACAGAGAGAAGACAGCGTTCTCGGTGGGCTCCGGACTGTGGCAATTTACCGTCATGCCTTTTGGATTGTGCAACGCGCCAGCTACCTTTGAGAGACTAATGGAGTCTGTGTTAAAGGGACTATCCTGGACTACCTGTTTAGTGTACCTGGATGACATCATAGTGGTTGGGAAATCCTTTGACGATCATCTGAAGAATTTGGAAGAAGTTTTCAAGCGACTAGGGAGCTCTGGTTTGAAACTTAGCCCCAAGAAATGTCATCTGTGTCAAGAAAAGGTACACTACTTGGGACATGTAGTCTCCTCCCAAGGAGTTGCGGTAGATCCACAGAAGACCAAGACAGTGGAAGAGTGGCCAATACCTAAAGATAAACATGAACTACGAAGCTTTTGGGACTATGCACATACTATCGCCGCTATGTACAGGGTTTCGCCACCATCGCAAAACCATTGACCAGACTTACCGAAGGCGAGAGGCGTTTCTCTTGGGACTCAGATTCTGACGAGGCATTCCGAAAATTGAAGAAGTCCCTGACTAGTGCGCCCATACTTAGCTACCCTCTTGGCAACGGAAACTTTATATTGGATACCGACGCTAGCAATGTTGCGTTAGGCGCTGTTCTGTCTCAGATCCAGGATGGTCAAGAAAAAGTCATTGGTTATTTTAGTAAGACCTTGTCAAAACCGGAAAGGAACTACTGTGTAACCAGACGAGAATTACTAGCAGTAGTTAAAGCAGTGGAACACTTCTACAAGTATCTCTATGGAAGAAAGTTCTTGTTAAGAACAGACCATGCTGCTTTGAAATGGCTGTTGCAGTTTAAGAATCCTGGTAGCTAGATGGATTGAACGATTACAAGAATTTGACTTCGACACAGAACATCGAGCTGGGACAATCCATCGGAATGCCGACGCACTTTCCAGAAGACCTTGCGCTAAGGACTGTAAGCATTGTTCCCGAGCAGAAGAGAAAGAAGTGAAACTCCTAAGAACAACTGTGGTTAATGATAGTTGGCAACCCGAAGATCTTGCAAATGACCAAACCAGTGACCCAGAATTAGGTTTAGTAATTAACTGGAAAAACACAGGCCAAAGACCAACGTGGGAAGAAGTTTGCAGATATTCGCCGAACTTAAAGTCGTACTGGGCCCAGTGGAATTCCTTGGTAATAGATAACGGACTACTTCGCCGTGTGATCGAGAGACCGGAGGGACAAGAAGAGAGAAGACAGATCGTCATTCCAAAGAAGAGGGTCCCAGAAGTCTTGGAGGAAGTTCACAATGGAACCAGCGGAGACATCTTGGTGTTACCAAGACACTTGGCAAGCTGCGTGAACGGTTCTACTGGGTGAACTGCAAAGAAGATGTGAGGGCCTGGTGTAAGAAATGTGACATTTGCGCAGCCATTAATGGGCCACAAAAGCGTGGTAAAGCCCCTATGCGCCAGTACAATGTTGGTAGTCCCTTCGAACGAATAGCGATCGACGTGGCTGGTCCTTTCCCGGAGACGAACGATGGCAACAAATACATTGTGGTAGTAATGGATTACTTCAGCAAATGGGTCGAGGCCTACGCGTTGCCAAATCAAGAAGCGTCCACGATTGCTGATGCCCTTGTTAAAGAATGGATCTGCAGGTTTGGTGTTCCCATGGAGCTTCATTCAGATCAGGGAAGAAACTTTGAGTCCAATCTGTTCCAAGGCGTCTGTGAAGTCCTGAACATCCGCAAGACCAGGACGACTGCTCTACATCCACAATCCGATGGGATGGTTGAACGCATGAACAGAACTATCAACCGTTATCTGGCCAAAGTAGTCTCTGACCACCAAAGAGACTGGGACAAATTTCTTCACCTGTTCCTGTTGGCCTACCGTTCATCCGTCCAAGAATCTACAGGGCAAACTCCAGCCAGCATCGTTATGGGACGGGAAGTGCGCCTACCCTGTGATCTGAAATTTGGTTGCCGACCGGGAGAAGAAGTCGCCGGAGAAGATTATGTCCACACACTACGTCAAAGGATGGACGACATTCATCAGAGAGTCCGCCTAAATATTCAAAGTGCTAGTGACCGAATGAAGGAACACTACGACATTCAAGCTGAGCATGGAGGATACCAACCAGGGAAGTTGGTGTGGCTATATAACCCGCAGAGACGTCGTGGGTTATCTCCGAAGCTACAATCCTCGTGGGAAGGGCCATACGAAGTCATGGATAGAATTAATGACGTCGTATACCGTATCAGAAAATTGCCAAAAGGAAAACCGAGGGTAGTCCATTTCAACCGTTTGAGCCCCTACCAAGGCGAAATAGAAGATCGTGCTGGGACCGTGAGAACCTGCAGCTTTGATCCCCCTGATTCGGAGATGTCCTTTGACGATTTCATGGCCCGATACAACAGCAGTGAGAAGGCTCGCTATGGTGTAACCAAAGAAGATCAACGAGACCTCTTTTCCGTGCCTCCTGATTATTCGCTCGCTCATTGTGTGGCTCGAGATTTGCGGATGTCCAGAGGAATCGCTGCGACGTTCAATGAGAAGTTTGGGCGTGTCGGAGAACTACGCCGACAGGATCCAGAGGTTGGAAGCGTCTTGAGGCTAACCGACAATGCACATGGTCAAGCAAGGCACATCTTCTACCTGGTCACCAAGGAATGGTCCCCGAGTAAGCCGACTTATCTCAATCTATGGAAGACCCTGATTGAACTGAGAGAAGCCCTGCTAAACAACAACATTGCACGATTAGCCATTCCGAAGCTGGCGTGTGGACTCGATGGTTTGAGTTGGCGTACAATCCGGAACATGATTGAAGTCTTGTTCAGATTTACGGGAATCGAGATCCTCGTTTGCTGCTACAACCCAAAGCTGAGATCGGGAGAGAAAACTGTAGACTGCTATTTCTACCAGACTTCGCAATGTACCAGGGGCCAGCTTTGCAAATACCTTCATTCACCGTATACATCTCGGGACGAGCATGTGCCTAAGAAGGGGGCAGTGTTGCGGGCCGGTGTGGACTCGACCTAACCTCACAATATGGCCCGCCCTCGGATGACCTTAACATCGCATAGACACCGCAATGATTCATTCGTTCGAGAAGAATCGAGTTCCACTGGAATGGACTAGTACATACGAGAACATTCGAAAACCTTCTCTACGCACCTAACGATCTATGGACTATTCTAGAGTTCTTTACCAGTCGGTATAAAAGCCGGCGGCGGTGGCCTACAGGGGGCAGTTATAAATATACCAGTGCAGTTGACGCGCTAAAATTCAAAATAAATTCTTAGTTATAAATCGTTTGTAAATAGTTCTATAAGTCTTTTATCGTTATTGTTTTTGTTAATTAATGTTAAATAAATAGTGTTTAAATAAATTGTGACTTTCTATCCACACGGAACCGACGAAAAACGTAACAATATATAGCGTGTGGTGTATCGGAACACGGAACGGGAATAAGTCGTTAAATTTCTTTCATCTAAAAATTCGTTTTATTTGGAATAGGCATTTAGATGTTTTTTGCAAAAATCTACCGCCAAATTACTAAAATTTTATAATACGACCCAGAGAAAGCTACAATTAGAGTACCAGCAAAAATATGATGTTCTCATTGTCAAATTCGATGTCACATTTTGCTTAAAGTTTTGTTTACAAGAATTTTGGTATATTCTTTGCAAGCATTTTTGTAGTTAGGTAAGGGTAATTACTTTTTTTCTGAACTGGAACGAAATCTACAAAAGCATTAGTTGAACTGGAAATACTATTCGCGGTGTATCACTTGTTTGCTGTTCATTACTCGATCACTCTGGTGGCCTCGCTCATACTACATACATAATAATATAACATACAATAATTTTAAGAAATATGTCCCCATTCACAGCCAAACAATACCCCAAATGGTAAAATTCACGTCTGACGATACAATGTTGATTTTTTTGCATTCCACAGAGATAGCATTTTAAGTTCATCCAAATTTCTGTATTTAATATGCCTATAGAGAGGGTTTTTGAGTGTGCTTCATAGGATAACTATCTATTTGAAACCAGATCTCATGATCTTCAGGGAAGATTTCTTCTGTAACCAGCTCAATTTCTTCTTGTAATAGCCAATAATCTTATGTGTCCAAAGAGTAATGCTGTGAGCTGCCTAGATATTCCTATTGTCTCCCCAATAGACGGAAGTCAGTGTTTTTCTTTCCTTCAACATAAAGAAGAATATTCAAATCATTCTTGTTTTCTTTCTGTTCATTATTTTTATCTTCGCACTTCCAAGTGCTTAATGCCATCCTATAGTTTTAAACCTCTGGTTTATTTTTTAAACTGTTGACTTATTTTGAACTAAAAATTGAATGAAACAAATATTTCTTCTTATAAAAACTTCTACAGTGTGACTGAACAACATGAAAAAAACGTGAGTGGATCGGGATCATATTTTTAATTGGAACACCCTGTATATTATTTCTTTGTTAGATGGCGAATTAAAAAATGAACATTTTTTATATTGAAAGCATTTCTTTATAACTCTTCCTTTATACATCTCCTTGACAGGAAGAAACAAAAGTGTGGTTGACAATATGCGCTTGGTCAACACTGTCGCATTCTTATATTAGCTGAAATACTTTGTGCCGATATGACATGCGGTACAAATATTTAATGTAAAATGTGTCTGTTCATCAATTTCAATATCAAAATAATACATGTGTTATTTTTTTATTGGCAGATATTCTTTTACACGTTAAATCTGATGAAGAGGTAGATTTAACAAAAACTCCGGAGTACTTTATGGAAAGGCTGAATAGATGGCGTCAAATATGGGCCGATTTGATGGCAGGCAAGCAAGTGGATCATAGTACGTGGCCCCTGCCTCCAACAGAGTAAATGTTTGACGTTGTATAAAATCGTCGTCTTTTCCTTTTACGTGTTAACTATTAATTGATATTTAGAGATATGTAGCGTCCACTTTCGTAAGCATTAGAAGATAGTTATTTAGAAGTAAAGAGAAATTAAAACATTTAAACCCTCATTAACGAAATTCAACATTAAAGATATTAATGGAAAATAAAATATAAACTAATTTATTAAAATCATGCACTGTTTTCTCTAGGTCGACTTTTTTGTTGCCAGTTCATTCTAATTTTATATTTTTTTACTGACTGTTATACTATAATTATTAAGAGATCTGTTGTTTTACTTATATGTTTTTTTTAGAATTAGAATTTGATTATACATTAATTCTTTTATACCTTAATAAAATTTTTGATTGATGCAAGTGAATATATTATGGTTTCATTTTTTATTTCCAAAAAGTACTAAAGTACTACAAAGCAATATATAGTTGTATCCAAAAGTATTAAAGTATTAAGTAGTTGTCTCTGGAAATATGGGATATTTTATATTCTTAGGGCCAGGGCTAATGCTAAAAAGGGCTCTACACGTAACGATATATGAGAGATTTGAACTGTACAGTTTTTTAAGTATGAGAAGACAAGAATAAGTAACTAAATGAGAAGTATGAACGGCATTTCCATGAGGTATTAAGCATTAGAATAATGGTAATATTCTATGCTTAATGAGGTCTTAGGCAATGCATTGTCTTTATATTCATAATCAAGGGAATAAGTAACTAGGCCTAGACTAATTAGGGTAAAATAATTATAGGTAAGGTTAAGACCAGTTAGGACTAATACTCGATTAGTGATTAGTATGAACCCACCATTAGATGGCGCTAAGGATAATAGCTGCCCATACACGGAAAGGCCCGGCCTTCGGACTCTGCTATGAGGCCGGGCCTTCCACCCAAATTACCATAGCGGAAATATATCGGCAGACTTTGCCTTTCACGCAAACTTATGGTATTTTGGGTGAAAGGCCAGGCCTCAAGGCCAAGTCCGAAGGCCGGACCCTTCCGTGTATGGGCAGCTAATGTTCTTTTTTCATTTTCACGTGACATAAAAACAGGCTGTATTTGAAGTCAGTAGTATGGAGGCCTTCGTAGTCAGTAGAAATAAAATAACTGATTTTTTGGTTATAGTTTAAGGACGGTTATTAGGATTAGGTTTAACTGAAATGGAAAAAATAGCCGATTGATATTCGGTTATCGGAATAAAATTATCGATTATCCGAAAATCTTTTTTTTAGGCATCCGTAGCATAATCTAAAAATGTAAATTATCTTTTTATTTATCTTATACAATTTAGTATAGCATAGCTTTTTCATTTCTTTGTCTATGTTTTATGGAGGGCTTTTTCATAGAGGGCCTCCATATGTTCCAAACCAACTGGAAGCCGTTATTTTTCAATCATACCATAGAGAAAGATAGTAAAAAACTTTTTATTACTTTCTCTATGAATCATACGTTGCATACGGTGTACTACCCTTGATTATGGAAAGGGTACTACGTGGTACTACCAAGCGCTTTTACAGGGTAAGTCTTAAATAAGGGCAAATATTAGAGACGACACTAAAACTCACCAAAACCTCGGAAGCATTCGGATCCTACACGAAGAGTTCGGTTTTGTTCGGCAAGAAGCGCTTTGCGGGAATTTTGAACATTATGAATAATCGAGAATCGAACAGTAATCACAGACAATAATTTTATTATGCGAAATTGCTAACAGTAGTTGACTGTTTTGGTTGTTCATTTTGTTTTTTATAGTTTTTGACTATTTTTAGAAATATGGCTATATTTAAAAATTGATCTGCATTCATATATTTTTAAAAAATACAAATATCATTAAAGTTACGAAATGTAATATTATTTGCTCATTTTAAAGAAGGAAGGTGGTTAATGTATTTGGCTGATATTTGGTAATATACCTATAAAGCCTACATCAAGTGATTTTAGTCAAAGTTGCATTGATTATTGGTGTAAATTAGAAATTGTTTCATTTGCAGATTGCATGATCACTATCTAATTTGATGCATAAGTGAGAACCATAGCTTTACTTGGAGAGAGCTCATTATTCTCAAATTAGTTGAAGCCTGGCGCATCCGCCACGACATCAGAAAAAAAATACTTTTTATTTTTTTTTTTAATTAAATAAAAAACAAAAAGTCCGGCGACGACAGTTTTTAGAAGACTCAATTAGCTATCTTTTAGTAAAAATAGCAACTTTCTAGAGCAAGTCGTTACTTCAGTAGAGGCGACACAGATAAACATTAGCATTTTATATATGTAGATTCTACTCTCAAATCTTTTATTAAAATACCAGTTCTTAAATTGAATCACATTTTCATGGGGAAATAAACATTTTGGGAAAATTTGTTAGCTTAATTACTGTAACATATTAGAAATAAAAAACATTTATAGTTCTAATAATCACAGACTTTATTAGAATGTTGCAGTTTCTTATCAGAAACTTATGGCTGTTCTATGTCAAGAAAATACAGTAATTACAACAATACAATACAATAATTTTAACAATAAACAATACCACATTATACAGGTTAGTAGCATAAGTAGTACAAAATAAATATAAAACCCTTAACCAACAGTCAATACATATTTACTTAAGTAAGACCAAAACAAACGAAATAAAGCCTTAAACCAATAACCTCTTTCACTTTGTTGGGAATAATTCTTGCTTATCCATTTTCCTTTTATGGCTCATTATATGGTCTTTTTATTGAACTACTGGCCTTCTCTGTTCATTTAGAACAATTGCTGATGTATCCTAAAAATTTTCATTTCTATTTTACCTATGATTACGATAATAATTGTAAGTTTTTTTCCACATAGTCATTATATTTTCTTGTCGAATGCATAATTTATCTTGAGAGAGATCTTCTGTCTTTTATACCACAGTTTATAACTTTCCTTAGTGTCAAAGTCATAGGCAAAGTTATGTGTTTCATTTCCAATTTTCAATTTTACTTCATGGTGTTTACCTTCAAATGTTGTTGCAATATATGGCAACTTCCACAAACTATACAGCCACAAACTATATACAGACTACCATATTTAGAGTACACAGTGGGCAAATAATACGTTTCTTCTTATTATAGTGTTTTTTCACAAAATTAAGTGAAACAACACAAATTAAAATAATCCAGTCTGTAATATTAATTATCAAAGTTCTATGAATCGCTGGATCCCCAAAATGCATTTACAAATTGTAAATCATCTTTAAATGCTTTTAGTAGGTATTTTTGTATTATTTAAAACTACAGGAATGCTGTTGAGTTTTTAACTTTGTTTTTAAATAGGGCCATATTTACTCTGATATAAAGTGCCGTTGTTTACAAAGTCCATCAACGGCAAAGTTCAGCTGAGTTTGACGTATACCGCGGTTGCGCGGTTCAGCTTCCGAGTATTTTGTCCTTAGAGAAGGAAAGAGAGACTCTCTTTCCTTGTCTAGGGTATGGTGAGTTTTAGGGGAGAACCATAAACTCTCGAAAGCCCAAGTTATCGAAAACCCGACATTATGAATAATCGAGAATCGAACAGTAATCACAGACAATAATTTTATTATGCGAAATTGTTAATAGTAGTTGACTGTTTTGGTTGTTCAATTTGTTTTTATGGAAATATACACTTAAAATACTTTAAAATGTAATGTTATCTTAAAATTAGAACCTGATTGCCTAGAAATGCAGAAATTGGTACAATACCAAAAAATTTAACTTAAATACCTATAAAATAGAAGCCATTAGTTTTACTGATATTGATTTTAAATGCTAGTTCAGACCAAAGTTGATTGCCCAGTGGTGTTTTCAAAGATATTTAAGAAACACGGAAATTATTAGTAGTGTTCACCATGAATTCTTACAAATTTCCAGAGAATCATAAAAGGAAATAGGAGGCGTGTGCATTCAAACATTTTAAAAAAAGACTTTTTGTTAGTGATTTTGGTTTTATGATGCCTAAAGTTGCCGGCCATATCCTTATTAGAAGAGTCAATTAGTAAGGTTTATGATAAAGCACTTTCTCCCCATAGTTTTTCTATATTTAGTGATTCTTTTAGGTCAAAATCTACAGCGTATGAATATATAGTATGTAAACCTGAAGCCTGAAGCTGAGATTGTGTTAGAAAAGGGTTTCAACATCAATTAGCATGTTATATAAATATGTAGATTCTACTCTCAAATCTTTTATTAAAATATCAGTTCTTAAATTGAATCACATTTTCATGGGGAAATAAACATTTTGGGAAAATTTGTTAGCTTAATTACTGTAACATATTAGAAATAAAAAACATTTATAGTTCTAATAATCACAGACTTTATTAGAATGTTGCAGTTTCTTATCAGAAACTTATGGCTGTTCTATGTCAAGAAAATACAGTAATTACAACAATACAATACAATAATTTTAACAATAAACAATACCACATTATACAGGTTAGTAGCATAAGTAGTACAAAATAAATATAAAATGTAACCAACAGTCAATACATATTTACTTAAGAAAGACGTGAAACAAAGCGAAAGGAAGCCTTAAACCAATAATTTCACTAATAATTTTTTATAACCATGTTTACCTACTTTTATGTGTTACATCATATGGTCTTTTTATTGGAATACTGGCTATATTATGTTCATTTAGAAAATTGTTGATAAAATCGGTTTTTTTTTTTTATTTTTCCCTCTAAGATTTTGTCTTAATATTTTAAATACCTCTTAGCTGATTTCATTGAAGGTGATACAATTCCTGCAATTCTATCATAAATCGACCAAATCAGATTATAAAATGGTCAGCGTGTGTTGGCTAAAATTTAGATGTCTTTGTTATTACACTGGTGTAGGACCAGTATTTTGTTATTGAAATAAAAACAGAATAGAAATAAAAATCTATTTTACCTATGACGAGAGTTTCGACAATAATTGTAACTTTTTTCCACATAGTCATTATATTTTCTTGGCGAATGCATAATTTATCTTGATCTTCTGTTTCATACCACAGTTTATAACTTTTCAAGTTATGTGTTTCCATTTACAATTTTACTTCATGGTGTTTACCTTCAAATAAATTTCTTTGCAATACGGGCAACTTCCACAAACATATACAGCCACAAACTAGAATCAGACTACCATATTTACAGTTCAACAATGGGCAATTATTACGTTTCTATTTATTATAGTGTTTTTTCACAAAATTTATGAAACAACACAAATTAAAATAGTTCCAGTCTGTAATATTAATTATCATATTTCTATGAATCGCTGATCCCCATCTGGCGCATTTCTAAATTGTAAATCTTCTTTAAATACTTTTAGTAGGTATTTCTGTATTATTTTTGAGTTTTTAACTTTGTTTTTAAATAGGGCCATATTTACTTGATAATTATAAAGTGCCGTTGTTTAAGCGGTTTACTTGGAGGAGCGCACGTATTCTCAAACTAGTTGAAGTTTGACGTATACCGCGGTTGCGCGGTTCAGCTTCCAGTATTTTGTTCTTAGAAATGAAAGAGACTCTCTTACCTTGTCTAGGGTAAGTGAGTTACTAATTAAAGCTATTCGTATTCATATAAGAGGTTTGGTTTTATGTTCATTTGTAATTCGCTTACCACAGATATGAACATAGCAAATAATACTAAATTTATCAGATATATCGACAAAATCTTATTATTCGAATTAGTTAGTTTTAATTTACTATCGAATTAGTCGTATTATTTAATTCGAATTTTCCCAACACTAATTCCTATCTTTTTGAACACTTCTAACCAAAGCTTCTGACAGAGCTTCTAACCATCTTCTAACGACAAAACTTCTAACCGGCAGGATCATAGGGCAGGATATTGTTTATTCTATGGAGTGTAGAGCATAAGTAGTGTCATTAATACAATACAATGATTATAGACGCGAATCGGCGAATTGCGAAAAGCGATAGCTAGCTTGAGAGTAGTACATTAATAAATATAAAACCCTTAAGCCTGGCATATTTACATCCGAGACCAAAACAAAAAAAATACTTAAACCAATTTTTTTTCATTTTGTTGAGGAGAACTATAATTAGACTATCATATTAGTAAAATAGCAACAGTTCTAGGCAAGTAATACGTTTCAGTTCTTACGACACAGATAAACATTAGTAACTTGTTATATAAATATGTAGATTTCATACAGTCAAAATTTTTTAGGGAAATTTCATTTTGCTCCACTGAAATTACCAAAAAAATCATAACCTGAGATTGGAAAATTTGTTTTATACATATTTATTTATGTTTACGATCTTTATTTTATATTTTATAGCATACAATATGAGTTTATTTACTTAATAATTAATGAATAAAATTACGATTGTGGGATTCAAAATACAATAAGGTGTAAAATTACCATTTACTTATTGTTAAAACGTAGAAGAGAATGGGTTTATAGCACAGGTTTACAGGTCATTTATGGGCCATTTGGGACAAAGTGAAATATTCAAACCTTAAGCAACAGGGTCGCAGTTTAATTTACTTAAGTAAGGAAGAAAATTCAAAAAACTTTAGGAATTTTCACAGATTGTCTGTATAGGAGTTTGATAACTTGGTTGAAGTTGATAATTGTCGCCATATATATCAATAACATATTATGTACGAGAACCCATTTCAACTGGAGAAATGCTTTCATTTACTATCAATTATTTCCCGCCCCCCAAATTTATAAATCTTTCAAGAATGTGCCCAATCTTAAAATTTCTCACAGAATTTTACCATTCAGTAAATTTGGACCAATGAGAGCAGTTTCGCAAAATCGCAATTCGCGATTCGCGTCTATATGAAACAAGCTTTATAGAGGTATTTTGTTCACATAATTAGTTGAGTTCACATACATATACTTTCGTGTTTAAGATCTTTAAGTTATATTTTATAAATCGGTTCCATTTTAATAGTTTATCAAAGTTCTATAGCTATGGATTATAGGTTAGCCAAACAAATGCCAGGGCCGGGGAATTGTAAAATACTTTTTTATTTTTATTTTTTTTATTATTTTGGGTTTTTAAGGTTTATTTTTAATTTATGGGCCATATTTATCTGAAACAAATTATAATATGTCTTAAATTTAAAATTACAAGGAAACTTGTCAAAGTTCGGAGTATTTTGTCCTTCGAAAAGTTGAAAAGACTACTCTCTTACCTTGTCTAGAGGGTATAATCTGAAAATCTACAAAATTTATTGATGAAAAAGTTAGGTTTTATGATCAAATTGAAAAGTATACCAATGAGATATGGAGTCTAAAAAGGAGGCGAATCGAACGCAAAAATTATGGGCCCAGTTTTTGAGATCTAAATGAAGTTCGAAAATCGCCGTTAGGGGCGCTTGTGATGATTGGGATACTAGAAATACACAGCTTCTTATGGCAAGAATAACTATTTTGTTATAAATTATAGAGCCAAGTTAATATTTGGGCATATTTTTACCAGAGTTAGCTTTTAGAAACGTGGTTTTTCTAATTGAGCAATGTGCGTGGCTAAAATTGTGAATACAAAACCTTAAATTTGAGTTTGAAAAGTTAGTTAGGTTATATTAGATGCCGGTTTAATATATCCTTTTCCTAAGTTGATATTATAAAAATGTTTTATTATGTGGTTCTTTTTAGTGCATACACGACCGAAGAAACATATAAGCTGCTAAAATAAATCTTCCCTAGAACTGTTGTACAAAAAAGATAGAAGTTCCAGCAACAAATTTATCACCAGTTCAACCTTTGATTTGATGTAAACAGTAATTGTTTCTTGATGAGAAATGCGAATGAAATAGTTTATGGTGTGATTGTGTTAGTGTTTTATTAATAGTTTTGTTGATGCAGTTTAAAGGTTCATAGTTTTTCATTAAAACATTTGAAATTGACATGTTTACATGCAGTTTAGTGTGATACCATTTTAATAAACATTAAAATCTTTCGAACTAGTAGTGGTTTTATGGCGATTGACAGATTGAATAACGAAAATTAAGAGTATTTTATCAGGAATAACTTAATCATAAATGGAAACTGAAGACGAACGTTACCATTGCACCCTTTGATCGGTGTTATCTATTCCATAACTTTTTATAGCTGAAACTAGAGAGTAGGTATATTGAGCTGAAACGTTTCCTGTGTTCAATAGCGTTTTTTCTAGCGTTGAATTGTAAGTTTTAATGTCATTAGCAAAGTTTTGCAAATTGTCACTGTTTCGTAGACAATTAAATTCAAGATATATTATATTCAATGTCACCTAATAATTGTAAAGGTTTTTCTATTGATATTCACTTTATTAATATAAGGTAGGTTTGTAAATAAAATATTAATGAATAAATAATGTACTCAGTTTATTTCAAAAGCACAAAAATACAGAGTTGTGAATATGTATATACGCTGACTTATTTCATCATATAAATATTTATTTAGCAATATTAATACATTACAACTTTTGTTTCTATTAACTAATTCCACTAAATTTAATAAATAAAATATACAATATGAAAATTTAGTTACAATTTATTAGATGCAGATATTGTTTATCTATATGTTGATATGCCAAAATGTAAAACATTAACATGGTTCTTATATCAATGCAAAAAATTACAAAGAAAAAAATAAGCATTCTAAAATAAATACCTAGCTACAATTTGTACCTACATAAGATAAGTTAAAACTTATTTATATTCATAAAAACCTTTTCTTTGATGTTAATATACACAATCAAAATTATCAACCACAGATACAATAATTTTCAAATTATTTGTTATTATTAGTGTTTTATTAATAGTTTTGTTGATGCAGTTTAAAGGTTCAAGTTTTTCATTAAAAACAATGAAAATCATATCTATCATAAATGGCAAAGACTATTTCATTTGAACCTGAAATAAATGTACCCTGCCCATCGCTTGTTATCTGTGCCAACTGCAGCCAAACTATTTTTCAACTAGTGAACATAGTAACTCTACTGTCTGAAAACATCAACTGGCACATTAGTAATATACGAAGAATTGTAAGTTTTCATGTTCTCAAAGTTAGGTTCTGAAGTTTGATTTTCAACATAAATTCAAATATAGACCTTTTATGTTTTTTGAATTTGAAACTTTTTCAGTTGCTTCACTCTATTAATACATGGTGGTTTGTAAATTTTATTACTAGAATAAATATGAAGGCAGGTTAGGAAAAATTCTTGGAATTGAACCCTCCTTTAATAATGGTCTACTTATTTCAATATGATAGTTCCGTCAAGTTAATTTGATCTCATAATGAGTCAAAATATCTTCATCTAGAAAATGTAGTTCACAAACAGCATCTTTGCTGCTAAGTGTCTTGTCTGATCTGGGTATCGCCTTTTGCCACTGCTGTAGCAAGCTAGGATCCTAATAAAAGATATATAATTGTTAAATAAAATAAAAAAAACATTTTTCACTATTAAAGCTGTTATTTTGAGAATACTGATCTTGAAGTATAAATATTTAATATTCACTTTCAATAGCACTGTTCAAACTGTGGTTAATATAGGTACATGTCAACAGGTAATTTTAGCACCTAGTAAGTATTAAATTATTTTAATTTTATAACAAGGCCTCCTAGGTTATGTTATACACATGTTGATTTTAGGCTATATTTCCTATTAATTTGGTTTATAATTTAATCTGTACACTGACAGTATATAATTTTAATGTTTTTCTTAACATCTATCCATAATTTTTATAAATAAATAGTCATACTACTTACATTAGGAGCTTTGAAAAGGCTTGGGTTTCTTTCACCCCGTTCTTTATTTGCCTTGTTTTTTATTGGGATTCCCACTTGTACAGCCAGGTACAAAGCAATTTCTACCACGACTCATTGTTGTACTGCTAAAAATTCAGTAAATTAACTATAAATTTTATTAAAAACACAATTAAATCGTATACTAACAATGAAAATGTAGTATCCCAGTCGATCGCAGTGCCTCTGCTGTCAAACCGAGGAAGCTGCTTAAAAGTGGGGACAGAAATTTCAAATTTGCCCATTGCCGATAAATCTCCTTTTTTAAGCCCTCCATAATTAAGTATAACCTCTTTGGTATAACATTGTTAAACAAACATTAACAAATCATAACATATCAGATCATAGAACTAAAAAAAGTACTATTACATAAAAACAGGTGATACAATACTTCAAAATTAATTTTAACATAATATCAAAACCGAAAAATCAAACTGCAAACACAACCACACTTATCACAACAGAAATTAACACACACTTCCGCGGCAAATGTCCAAGAAAGACTGATCATTCTGATTGGTCCTGGTCCGGTCGTAGCTCACGTCGTATTGTCGGTAAGCAAAATCCCTGTCCAAAAATTTTGACGATCAGCGCCATCATCCGTCATAATTGGGAAACTTTTGCTGGAACCATTTTTAATATTTCACTTACATGGCCCTGGTTGAGTTCGTCAAGTCGGTAGGCCATTGATTATGATATGGGCGATATAGGACCGCGGTTCAGATTCATGGTACAAAGAATACAAGGTATGATCGATAGCGGATCCAATTTCGTTCAGTTCGCGCATACCACCTGTGACGTCACTATGAAAATAATGAATAAATAAAAAATTTGTAAAAAATAAAGAAAGTTGACAGGATATCTGCATTTTTTGGGGTTATGGTTAAGAATTGTTTATTTTTAAGACTTTTTAGTTCGTTTAATTTAATAATTACTAAAACCAGCAGTTCTAAAAATATATTTAAAAATAATAATTACCTATTAACATGGATTTGTTCAATAATAGGTAAGAATACTAAATTTATTTCTATATTCGGTATAAAATTGTTTATTAGGTTTTTAGTTTGCGATGTTTATGGTAAATAATTTTCATGTTCATTGCCTCTGAATTCACATGAGGACAGAGATGAGGATATCTATGGAAAAGTAACCACAAGAGGAATTGTTACATCATTTAAAAAATGTTGGGAAGTTTATTGTTTCCCATCGAAAAGTAGAAAATGCCAATGCAGATGAACGTATTGTAATTGTGATAGAAGTAATTCCAAGGGTGAAGTTTATTATAATTAGTGACCTGTGCTTCTTTTTATATGTAGATGTTTCAGGTTTTGAGAATAAATTGGTTGAACGACACCCAAAATTTAGAGAGGAAGTATTTGCATACCCAGAATATGCCCATCGAGGATTATATTATAGCTCAAATTTCCTTTAATGGTAGACAATTATTCAATGCAAATTAACTTTTTAAGTGACTGAAATATTAAATAGTTTACAATATGGTATATCACTAAAAAATATATTACTTTTTAGGTACAATTAGGGCCCGACACATTTCAAAAAGTAGAATATTATTTTATATTAAATGAGGTATTGTACCAACAATCAATTTATATTAATAACGGAGATTAAAAATAACAGAATAAATAGTTCTTTTTTTTTTATACTACAAAAATAAATTATAGAATACAACAGTATTTAAAAAAATAAATAAAAAGTTATGTCGCGGCCGAGATTCGAACTCCGGTCTCTCGCTTCCTAGCCCGACTCCTTACGCACTGCTCCACAGTAACTTGCTTAGCGATAATTCAATGACGGTATATAAACAAAAAAACAGATTTATAACAATATCTTGACGATTTGAACTGGCGCGCGGAGCGTGCTGACCAATAGCGCCTGTTATCACCTGTGACGTAGCGACCAACCTGCGCAATATCATACCTTGTATTCTTTGTACCATGGTTCAGATTCCTCTGAATAACCTCAAAATGAGAAAATAATAACAGTGGTTTTTTTTAAAATTAATAATTTCTGAATTTTATTGGATGATAAGATTTACTAGATATGGTTATTTGCAAATATTATTTACAAGGTATATGTAAATTTGGAAGCAGTTGTTATAATGAACATCAAAATCCACGTAAGATAATTTGATTTTTATACTGTTTTTATAAGAACCAATAAGAGAATGATGTATGTAGAGGATGTATGTTTACAGAGAATTATGTGGATAATAGGCAGTCAACGTCAATTTTGCGCCAATCAAATTTTGGGGCTCCTCAACATATCCCTCAACCTAGCAAACCTACAGGAAATGTTGATCTAAATACACTAATAAAAGCAGTGATTACAGATACAACAGGGGCTGAAAAAGGTGGGCAATGGCTTCTTTCATGTTATGCTCCGTATAAGGAGAAACCTGCTTTCCCTGGTTTTGAAGATACCAGCCCAGAAGAAATTAGATTAGGTTTTTATGAAGCACAAAAAAATGGAACACTGGATCAATATGTAGGTATATGAAAATATATTTTGTGAGTGGCCTAACCATTTGTTTTAGAAACAACAACTCCAAGGATTACATCAAAGAGAACTTGCGAAAATACGAGCATTACAAAATCCAGATAAAGAAGTTATTAATATTTTGCAATGTATCTATAACACTCCACCATCAAGCTACAGTGGGACTTATGGAGAAAACAGCATTACTCAAGCCAGTAATACAGGTCAACTAGTATATGGAGCTCAAACTAATCCCACATATACTTTAAATGATAACATTTTCAATAGACAGCAAAATAATAGAAACATTTTTGGAGGAAACTCAAAAGATGTCTTTAATACTTCACAACCTCAAGCTCAAGCAACTTTATTTAACAGTTCAGCTGCCAATGTATTTAGTCATAATCAAAATAATATATTCAACAATCAAGTAAATTCAAATATATTTACAAATACAAATTTGCAAGTGAATAATACAAATGCAGCGGCCCCCCAAATGAGTGGGAATGTATTTGCAACATCATCTGGTATTTTTTCTGGCGGGAGTCAAAATTTATTCAGTACACAAAATACTAAAAATGTCTATGGTGAACCACCAAAAGCTTTACTTAACCAACAACCAAATATATTTAAACCTACAAATCAAACAAATAATATTCAAGTACAAAATATTTTGACTTCACAACAACCTGCAAATCTATTCAACTCTAATCAAAACGTTTTTGGGACTGTACCAAACTTACAAGAAACTCAGTCAATTGTAGATACACAGAAATACTCTGCGTCTATATTTGGAACTCAAATTTTTAATGTAAATCCTGTGAGCGATCAAAACAATATCGACGAAACTCTTTATTCCAAGGAAGAAGAATTAACCGATATAGAAAAAAAATGGTTTGAAAGTGATAGTATTGATTTAATGAATATTCCCTCTAAGCCACCAATCTATAATATGTGTTTTAAAACATAATTATTTTGAGTTGTACAAGGATTCTCTAAATATTTCTTATTCCAGTCTATAGAAACAAATGACTTTAATGTATATAATTTACTAACATCTGAAATATACATATTAATTATCTACGTCTTCGGACTTTAGCTCTGCCTTTTTTCTTCTTTTTAGAAGTATTGTTTATTTCTTTTTTGTTAACTTTAATATTTTTAGGTGTAGGTATACCAGTGTTAGGTCTTTTGGGAATAATTAGGTTTTGTTCAACCAAATCGGCCAATTTTCCTTGCTCGGCAAGCATAGATAAGAAAGTACAAATAAATTCATCATAATTATGAGTTCTTCTAGAATCATCAATCTAAAATTAAATAAATTTTAGATATAAAAATAAAAAAGGTTAATGTTACCTTATATTTATTTTGTTTATCATTTTCATCTTTTAAAGACATTTCACATAAACAAATCTCATTCTCCAGATTTCTCAAAAGAGCTAAAAGATCTTTGGGAGCAAAAGTATGTGGTTCTAATATATCATGGCTTTTCTTTTCTGCTATTACAGGATCACCATCACTTGTATGCACTCTTGCATGAATACCTCCACTGCCAGATTTCTTTTCTAATGGTTTACTAGTCTTCTCTTCCAAAATAAGCCCATTATTCTTTTCTTGTTCAGCCATTCGTAACACAACAAATCTTTTAAGATCTCTCGAGTTAGGACTGGCTGTAGAAGCCCAATTCCAACTTTGGGTTGGTGAATTAAATGCTGAACCTGAACCAATATCTGAAGGTGTATCTGTCCCTGAAGTACTAGGAGCTGGAGATGTTTGTATTGTTAATGGAGTTGAATAATCTAACGGACAGAGTGTCATATTTGAACTAGGATTTGAAGTGATAGTGTCATCAGGAGTTAGTTTTGCATCTTCCTCAGTTTTTCCAGCCTCTTCATTTTTCACTATCCTTGAGCTCAAATTCTCTGGAACATTTTCAATTTTTCCACCTCCCTTATCTTTAACTTTGACTATTTGCTGTAAAGCATCTACTACTATTTGTTTATTAGTTCTAAGCATTTTCAATTTGTGTTGAATAGCTAAACGCCTATCAGGAACTACAGCCATTAAATTAAATCTTATTTCATTATATTCATCACCGATACCTAATCTATCCTGAATTACATTTCTAAATTTATCTGTCCAGTCTTGATCACTCCAGGGGCCATGATCTATAGGGAATGGTTTCAAACCATCCAGTTCATACAGTCGACTCCCAATAGGAACAAAACTGACAAAGTGAAATGCTTCTCCTAAAAAAAAATAATTGGATATACAGATTTACTGTAACAAATTATATAAATAAATTGTAGAAGAATGATACACACCTCTTCCTGTAAACCTTCCTGTTGAAATCCCACTACTTTTTTCTAATCTTCTTTTAGCTTGAGGCATAGCATGGGAGTTATGTGCACAGGCAAGTTCAGGAGTGTTTCCTATAGCCCAGCCCTTATTCTCTGGTGACATTCCATGGGTATGTAATTTAAGTCGTTGTAAAGTTTCACCCAGATGTATAGTGGGACAATTTAATAGAATTGAAATTAGGGCGTGTGTAGCACATGAGTTAGGTACCATTTGTTGTGCAAAAAATATATTGTTTACAACATCCTCATCTTTTACAAATGTCTCTGTTTGCTCTACCACTTTCCTTCGAGATCTACGCTCCTCAACCCATCGAAATAAGAAAATAAATCCGTACACTGGGCTGTCTAAAGGCTTATTCAAATCATAAATTTCTTCAACTTGCACCCCCTTCACACCAAAATCCTCTAAAAGAAGCGAGAATAACCCTGGATCGCTCTCTAACTCTAACCACCCCTCTGTAAGCTCTTTGATATCTACTGGCATTTTATATCTTAATTCATAAACTGTATTTTTTTAACACGATAAAAGCACAAGTAAAAGCATATACAACCGTCGAAAATTCACAACGAACAGCACAAAATAGACTGGCCCTCACTGGCCCCGTTCTCAGAACAACTCTGAGAACAATTAGTTCTGTTATCTGTGCTCACTCTGTGCTCAGAACAGCGAGTGTCGCCAGTCGCCAGAAAGCCCCGTTCTCAGAACAGCGACACGTCAAGAGGACCAATGAGATTTGTACAAAATTCAAACAGCTGTCAATTTTAAATCTAGCACAGCTCTCATTGGTTGTTTCAAACGTCAAACTGTGTCGCCAGCAAATGCCAGCGTCAGGGGCGTAGAAAAAAAGAGACCTTAATTATTATTAAATCTGATTGGGTCTTTTGTCGTATCGCTGGCGACAGTCGCAGTTCTGAGAACGGGGCTTAAGAAATTGACGATATAGGTACCACAGAGCAGTTACAAAAACAGATACAGTTTGTATCTGTTCTGTGTAGGTACCCATAGATAAAAGAAAATAATCTTCTATGTAGGTACCCATTCTTCTTCTTCTTGTTTCACGATGACCACGCGCCTTTCGACGGCCAGTCAGAGTCTAATGTAGGTACCCAAATACGTTTAAAACTTTGAATAAGAAGACTAAAGCCGGAGTCTCATGCATCCGAAATCCGATGGTACGATATCCGAAATTTGAAGTTATCGTGTGAAATAAAAAAAGCCTGTCACATACATCGTTGTTCACATGTCACATACATCGTTGTTCACATACATACAGTTCGTTCCGAAATTTGACAGTTTTAACATTTTCATGAGATTCATGTCATGTTTTATTAGAGAAACACTTATAAAAATAACTTCCTCGCCAAATATCCCGAAATTGCCCACTTCCCACTAAACTTGTTTTTAAAAACAAATGTTTTCAAAAAAAGTGAGGTTAAAAAACACACGATATCGTACAAAAGTTAAACAAAATTTAACTTTATACGACGTCGGATGATTAGTTAAAATTATCGAATAAAAATTGTTGTCAAAATAATTCAACCAATAGGAGCACCGTCGGATCGTCGTGTCATCGGATTTCGGATGCATGAGACTCCGGCTTAAGCCTAGTTCTCACGGAGCGGAAAATCGCGTTACAAGAGGGGATGGCGTAAAAATTCCTAATGGGAATTTTTCCTACTGCGCGAGATTTCTAATTCTCGCCCGACCTACTCGGTTCGGCCGTCATCGGCATGGATCGAAATCCTTGAGATGTACATTCTACATGAAATGAAGGAAAAAAACGTGTTAAATTTGTCAACGTCGCTCCTCGCAGTGGCTATCGAGAGTTGAGAACTCGAAAAAGTTAGAGAGCTGGCCAGGTGCTCCCATACGTTAAGTTAGAAAGTGATATAAAAAATAAAATGTTATAATTATGCAGACGCATTGAGTATTGATAATATTTTTAATCGGAAACAGTGTGGTATGCGATTAACTGGAAATTAAATTAAACATTTTTATATAACTGATAAATCTTGTGAGGAAGAGGTGAAGGAAAAGAGACAGATGAAGCAGAAAAACAAACTAATTTTATTGGAAATTAAAAAACAAAATTGTAATTTTGACAGTTAATGTTTTTTTAGAACATTAGAACGTTATAACACAAGCATCACGAAGGAGAAGCAGGAAACATACAAAAGTAAATATATTTTAAAAACATATTATGTGCAGTGACTTTCTAACATAATTAATTCTTTTTCAGAATCATGGTCAAGTCATATACACCAGCAAAATTTAAATAGTTATATACACAGTTATATATGTTTAGAGCTTTTCAAAATTAAAGATATATGATGTCATGAGAGTGTGTATTATTGGTTGCCTATGGTATTATTAAATAAATAAGAGCAGAGAATTCTAATAATGGCAATAATCCCTAGAGTCAATTTAGAGGTTAACTATTCTCTGGGTTAACTGAAAAAAAAAATGTTCTGGAGTCAAAGTATTTTATTTATAAAATTACCCAGAACATCCCAATTAAATAATTTTGTATTTTTAATTTAGAGACTCTAAGGGAACGTTTTAGGCTATTTTTGAGTTTACTGAAGAAGTTTAAGAGTACTAGAAAAAAACATTTTCCCCCAACTCAACCTTTTTACCACCCTTAAATGATATTGCAATTCAATTTTTAAGACCTTAATAAGGAAATTTTTCAAAATATTTCGAATTTATTCATGAACTTTAAGTCGGTCAAAATAAAGCATGGAAGTTGGTATTATATGAAATGGTTTATTACAAAATATAAATGTATGATAAAATAAAATAAATCAAACTGTAGTCCCTCTGGTATTCTAGTGACTGCGAACTGCGGGTGGCTGGTGAAAAAGTGCTACTGAAGGTGAGCGTAGGTATACTACCTATAATATACACCTACCTATAAACAAAAAAATGTATGAGTAATGAATTTAACAACACCGTCAAATTAAAGATTGGGTAAAACACATTACATATTATTATTTAAAGCAATATCTACCCAAAGTGAATATAATTGAAAATGTTAATAATCTTATTTTAATTATTAAGTCTAGGAAAGAAATGTGTCTTTTCCATTTTAAAAAAGGTACATACCAAGTACATACCTTTTTGTTCTATTGTGGCACTATGGTAACTAACTAGACACCATTTTGCCACCGTTGCTGCTCGAACTACTAGAAATCATCTTCTTGGCAATAATCTGTAAAAATATATAGATAAAAATTTACGTTACACATTATTCATTACGAATTAAAATTATAATTCATTTTAAATTATTTGGGGAGTACCAACTACTGTCAAAACTATAACACCGAAACAGAGACCGAGGTACTTATTTTTACTTACCGCTAATATATTCCACTATTATTATTTTCACATCTATATCTTCATATAATTGCGGATCCAATCGGAGTTGGATTATCCAGCTACCAGTACTTGTCCTCCACTTTGAGAGGATCTGAAAGTATTTTATTACAAATTAATTAATTACCTTGCACTTAAATATATGCTAATCAAGTTATAAGTAAACCGAAACATTATGGATACTGAATATTTTGTTTTTTTTTAATACATAACTACAAAAGATAAGCACAAATGAAATTTCCTACCTTCTGGCTTCCTTTTTAAATAATCCTTCCATTTTCAATTAACAATAATTCACTCCGTTCAGTAACGAACAATAATTCACTCTGTCTGATATACTTTCGAAAATATGAGAATACTGGCAACAGTGTTTTTTACTTTCCGAAGACGTTCGGGCGCAATCGTAATATTAGGAAAAAGTAGAATTAGGAAATTCTTGGCGCTCCCAATACCGCCACCTCGTATGTGGTATCCCCGGAATTTTGACTATTAGGACAGATGTGGTTCTCCCGTAGAATTAGGAAATTCTTGGCGCTCCCTACCCTACATCATAGTTTTACATTTTTTAAATAAAATTAGAACGACACTGATAAACCGGAATTTAAGTCGGCCATATTTGAGGCCCATCGCGGTGTACCTAAGATATTTGATATGCTCCTTCCTATAAGCCTAGTTCTCATGGGGCGGAAAATCGCGTTGCGAGCGCGGATTTTTTTAAAATTGTCCCGCTGCGGGAAAATTTCAACTTTTGGCGGATCCGCAAAATTTTAAACTATTTTTAACTTTTTAGCGAGTTTTTATAGTCTATCTTTGTCTAAACATATTCTTTCTTCTTTTAATTTTTAACCTAATCTCAAATTGGGAGGGAAGCTGTTTGTTTTGGTAGTTTGAATTTTAATTTTGGAGTTGGGATTTTGATTTTAATTAATGTTTTTGTAAAGACCTTTTGTTTTTATGCCATTCATAAATTAATATTAATCCAACTATGTACTGCCTTCTCCATTGATAATAGTTATTATTGTTAGCAATATTAGTATCCATAATCACATAAATTAATAATTTAAATTAATTAATATAATAATATACAAGTTACAAATATTTTTGTTTATTGTTTATTTACTTATTTGCTTAAAAAAACACACTTGGTTTGTCACTGTCACCTTTCAAGTTCTGACATTAAAAAAAATCACTAGAAAATAATCTTAAATACCCTAAATTTATCTAAAAATCCGCATCCGGAATCCCGCTTCATGCAAACCGTCCAATTTTACTTTCTTCAACAGAAAGCGATATTCCGCTCTTGTAGGGAGCGCCAAGAATTTCCTAATTCTACTTTTTCCTAACATTACGATTGCGTCCGAACGTCTTCGGAAAGTAAAAAACACTGTTGCCAGTATTCGCATATTTTCGTAAGTATATCAGACAGAGTGAATTATTATGGAATTATTGTTCGTTACTGAACGGAGTGAATTATTGTGAATTGAAAATGGAAGGATTATTTAAAAAGGAAGCCAGAAGGTAGGAAATTTCATTTGTGCTTATCTTTTGTAGTTATGTATTAAAAAAAACAAAATATTCAGTATCCATAATGTTTCGGTTTACTTATAACTTGATTAGCATGTATTTAAGTGCAAGGTAATTAATTAATTTGTAATAAAATACTTTCAGATCCTCTCAAAGTGGAGGACAAGTACTGGCAGCTGGATAATCCAACTCCGATTGGATCCACAATTATATGAAGATATAGATGTGAAAATAATAATAGTGGAATATATTAGCGGTAAGTAAAAATAAGTACCTCGGCCTCTGTCTCCCGGTGTTATAGTTTTGACAGTAGTTGGCTCCCAAATAATTTAAAATGAATTGTAATTTTTAATTCGTAATGAATAATGTGTAACGTAAATTTTTATCTATATTTTTTACAGATTATTGCCAGAAGGTGATTTCTGAGCAGCAACAGTGGCAAATGGTGTCTAGTTAAGGCCACCATAGTTACAATAGAACAAAAGGTATGTACCTTTTTAAAATGGCAACATCAACCTTTAAAATGGAAAGACCTTCTAATTAAAATGAAGATTATTACCATTTTAAATTATATTCACTTTTGGTAAACATATTGTTTTAAATAATAATATGTAATGTATTTTACCCAATCTTTAATTTGACGGTGTTGTTAAAATTCATTACTCATATATTTTGTTTATAGGTAGGTGTAAGGTATACTACGCTCACCTTCAGTAGCAGTTTTTCAGCAGCCACCCGCAGTTCGCAGTCACTAAGAATACCAGAGGGACTACAGTTTGATTTATTTATTTTATCATACATTTATATATTTATAATAAACCATTTCATATAATACCAACTTCCATGCTTTATTTTGACCAACTTAAAGTTCATGAATAAATTCGAAATATTTTAGAAAAGCCTATTCTTATTAAGGTCTTAAAATTGAATTGCAATATCATTTGAAGGGGTGGTAAAAGGTG